TCTTATTGGCCTTTATGTGTTTCTCCCAAGTGCTGTCGACTACACACGTCAGTCAACGACAATGAGTAAGAAAAAAGAAAAGAAAAAGACACTCAAATATCCGTCGCAAAATAAAATGTTACTTTATTGAAAGAGAAGAATGATACAGCAGTAGAGCGACCATCACACACTCCTCCTCAGAGCTCGCCAGAACTGAACTGAGCTCTCATACATGCGTGCTTAGATCTCAAAGGTAAAACAACCACAGAAGTCCTATTAAAGGGGGCCTGGCATTTATATAAAATGAATATCAAACATTAAGCGACCGTTACAATATCACATTAATTAACCCAAAAAAAAGCAGCGCAATCACTACCAGACTGCTGTTGTGTTTGCGATGAGGGACAAGGCTGAATCCAGCTTATTCACAGCTTCTTATTGACTCTATCCTGTCCAACTTAAATACCAAGACGCTTCTGTTTTTCAGCCTCTTATTCGCGCTCAAGAAAACACGCAGTTTTAATCTTCTAAGCAAGGGCTTATTACGCGGTCCTGTCGCCATCTTGTGGATAGACAACGTCAACCGTCTTTGACTAATGGTCGCTGAGGTGCTGTCTCTTTAAGAAATGATAAATGTTTTAACATAGGCACTATCCTCATAAATAAACTGGATATTTGCAATCTAAACAACTACATTCTCGACTAAATTAGCCTCAAAAGTACAATATGTTGCCCAACAGCAGGAATATTTGTCAAACTGTAGACCGTCCTCTGCTTGTATGTGGGCGGAGTAATACACAAGGGTGAAGAGGCCTTTGTGTGCTGTTACTGGCAAAATATCTCACGGCTATCAACCAATCAGATTCAAGAACCAGACAGAAGTGTTGTATGAATAAAGTTGCATAATGAATGTAAACAGTGTTGCCAGATTGGGCTACATCTGGCAACACTGAATGTAAAACTGCTTGAAAAGTGCAATTAATGCTGGCAGTAGTCACACTTTAAAATGTAGGTGTTTAACTTAGCTTTAAAAAGGCTTAAAAGTTATATATCTGCAAAAATTCCAAGGTTGCATTTGATTTGGATGGCACTCCTTTGACATTAATGTCAACTAACTCAATAGATGGTTTGAGTTTGTAGAATAGGTTGACATGTTGTTCTTTCAAAGTTACATTCAGTAGTCTGTTCATGCATGGACTGCCAAAAAAGGTATCAGCTAGCTGACATTCATTCATTTTCTTTTCCGCTTAGTCCCTTTATTAATCAGGAGTCACCATAGCAGAATGAACCGCAAGAATTTATCCAGTACATTACGCAGCTCATGCCCTTCCAGCCACCCAACTTAACACTGGGAAACACCCACACACTCTTGCACACATTCATACACTACGGCCACGTGAACACGGGGGGAACTTGCAAACTCTTCTTGCGGTGAGGTGATGGCTATCCACTGTGCCACTGCGCTAGCTGACATGAACTCATAAAAAATACATGTAATATGGACTTTCAAAATAAATTGTTACATATATTCTTAAAACTAAACTAGATTTTTTATGAGGAGTTTTATAGTACTTATATTTGCATATTTACAGTATGATACTAGCTGGGGCCAGGATCTTATAGGAGCACAACTTTTCACCTGGTGTGTGACAACAATATAACATAAGTGCAGTTTATGTATATTTAGGTTTATGTGTATATTTAGGATTCTTGGGACATTTATTTTATTCAGACAGGAATGGCCAGCTAGTGTGCGCTGTGCAGGTAAACCTCACTCCTCTGATCTCTAAAGGTGCTCTAGTGACAGACGCTAGGGGCCATGGTCTTCAACCTCCTTGTAAGAGTATCCGATTCCCATGCAAAAGGTTGCCGATTCGATCCCAGCTCGAAGCAGGTTGGGTGGTGTAGGACCGGGGGGGTTGCATTGGTGCCTTGACCCGGATGGGAGTGAGGTTAAGGGGGGTGGGTGTAATGGAGGCCAGCTAGTGTGTGCTATGCAGGTAAACCTCACTCTTCTGACCTCTAAAGGTGCTTTAGCTACAGGCACTAGGGGCCATGGTCTTTAGCCTCTTTGTTAGAGCAACCGACTACCATGCAGAAGGTCGCTGGTTCTATCCCAGCTCGGGGCAGGTTGGGTGGTGTAGAACCGGTGGGATTACAGAAGTGTATTGAACTCTAACATGATCTCCAACTTGCAGTGGTGTTCTCTGACGTTGATTAATGTGGTTTACATGAGCAGTTCCTTTTAGTTCTTAGTTTGGGTTCATTTGTTTGTGTGAAAATAACTATACAATGATTTGTTCAAAGCTTTATTCACTTCACGTGTAGCAACACTAGTTCATCAGGTTTCAATATATTAAAATAATTGGACTCAATTAATCTAAAATATGCCTGCACTTTCAGGATTTTAAAATAGTTCAACAAAACCGTTTTGGCGGCCTCTGCCCATGTTCTGCCCTTTTTCTTCTTCTGTCGTTCCCTCATGTCCTGTCATGTCCTCAATCGACCTGTGTGCTGTGCGAAGTGTTGATGTTGCTTTAGTTACCGTGCAAAACCTGCCATATTGGGTTTTTACTGTACAATATAGTCTCTGACAGGGCCTCATGCAGTGGGTAGCATGATCACCTCACAGCAAGAAGGTCACTGGTTCGAGCCCCTGCTGGGTTAGTTGGCATTTCTGTGTGGAGTTTGCATTTTCTCCTGTGTTCGCATGGGTTTCTTCCGAGTGCTCCAGTTTCTCCCACAAGTCAAAGACATGCGCCATAGGCGAATTGAATAAACTAAATTAGCCGTAGTGTATGTGTATGAATGTAAGTGTATGGGTGTTTCCCACTGTTGGGTTGTGGCTGGAAGGGTATCTGCTGTGTAAAACAAATGATGGATAGGTTGGTGGTTCATTCTGCTGTGGCGACCCCAGATTAATAAAGAGACTAAGCCAAAAAGAAAATGAATGAATGAATGAATGAATGAATGAATGAATGAATGAATGAATGAATGATTGTATGAATGAATGAATGAATGAATGAATGAATGAATGAATGAATGAATGAATGAATGAATGGTCTCTGACATTCATTAATGTGGTTTACTTGAACAGTTCATTTTAGTTCTAAGTTTGGGTTCATTTGTTTGTGTGAAATTAACTGTACATTGATTTATTTAGAGTTTCCTAGCAAACAATTTTGTTTAATAGACACCTAATAGACATTTAATTGCAGACAGCTTGGCTAAAACAACTTGGGCTGTCAGTGAAAATCTAATAGAAAAATAGCCCAAAACTAGTCTCCAAATAGACAGATTAGACACACAGCAAATTTGTGAGTGTACATTTTAGACCACAGGTGCTGAATTGAACACTTTTCTGGAGTACATATGAGTCCCATCAGCCAAGTGGCCATGTTAAACTTTCAAAAGTGTTGAACATATACACCTCTGCAGTGTATAACTTTTTACAATTAGAGTGTAAACATGCACACCACATTAAACATTTTAATACCTGCAGGGCAAATTGTCCAGTGTACATATAACTTCAGAAGTGTTCAATTACACTTTCTCCTGGAGTCCCACCAGCCCAGTGTTTAAGTTACACTTTAAAAAGTGTTGAATAGATACATTTAAGCAGAGTAAATAGTTTTATACGCAAACACTGTATACTATTAAATACTCTATCAACAGTGCCAGGTCATATAAAGCATAAACTCATTTTTTAAACTGACATGAGTAAAAGTTAACATTTTCCCCACATGAAATTCACAAAGAAAGTTTGTATTTGAATGTTTTAACACCCTGGAAGATTAATAATATCAATAATAATAACAACAATAATAACAATAATAATATAAAAATGTCAATGAACTCTACTTACTAAAATGAGGGTTTAAGTGTTTAATTTAACCCACATCAGTGTTAAAAACAGTATTAGGTACACTTGGATTTTAACAACACCTCAGAATTTGCTCTGCAGACTTTATATGTGTAATTACTGTATTAATTTCTGTTTATTTGACGACTAGTCTAGTTTTGGGCTATTCTTTGACGTCTATTAAATTTTCACTGACAGCCCAAATTTAGCCATGTTTTAGCCAAGACGGCAATGTTTAGACGTCTAGAAATCTTTAAAAAAAAAAAAAAAAAATGCTTGCTGGGTTATTTCACTCCACATGCAGCTAGTTCTTATATAAGCCATCAGGTCTCATATATTACAATAATTTAACTTAATTCTTCTCAGATGTTCCTGCACTCTCAGGATTTCAAAATAGTTAGCTAATTTGATCCATTTTGGCAAATGCTGTATTATTTTAAAACCATGCTAAGCATAATTCAGCTTTTGAATTGTTAATTGTTTAATTAAATCTGTCATTAAAGTACAACACATAGGCAGGTCAAACAATATACGATCAGAACTACATTATGTAGGCTATGTTTTTATGTAGCATTACGCGCGGCGCGGTGTCAACATGGCACCACCCATGAGGGGGCGACCTGCACCATCAAAAACAAACATCTAGAAGCTCACATTTGAATTGGATTAACTATACTGGTAACACTTAAATATGTAACAATGCACACTATTCACTACTGGCTTATTAACTGTCTATTAATAAAATATGAACTGTTTATTAGTAGGCTACTCATGAATGATCTTTCTACCTCCCTAATCCTGCCTAATACCTACACCTAACTCACTAACTAGTAATAAGCAGCTAATTAGTTTATATAACGTTAGCTAACAGTCTTAGTTAATGTTTTTATGTTTACTTTATAATCCTGCAAAGATTGTTTTGGCACGTGTCGCATATGCCATATTTTAACCCAGTATTAACAAGCGAGCCAAGAGCTCTAGTAAATGCGCGATGAAAAATTGCACAATGTACGCGTAAAATGGATACTGTGTACGCGTGTGTGTCTTTTTGCAGCTTGAAACATTGATACAGGTGAAAACAAAGGGTCGAGAGTATGTAGGTGGTTTCCCCTGAACTGTCATCGTAGCGTTACAGTAAGATGACGTTTCCCAGAGGGTCACATGGTTCGCCTCTTACAGTAAAAACCCAATATGGCAGAGATGGCAGGTCTTGCAGGGTAACTAAAGCAACATCAACACTTCGCACAGCACACAGGTCGGTTACCCGCGACCGAGCGCAGACATGAGGGAACGACAGAAGAAGAAAAAGGGCAGAACATGGGCAGAGGCCGCCAAAACGGTAAAAACCGAGACTTCTTGAGCGCTTGTTTCGCTTGTTTTCGCCTTGTGCTCCCACTTGTACAACTGTGTTTGAGTTCATGACCCGCTGTTGTAGACGAAGTATTGCGTATGCATATCAAGGCCTGGTGTCGGTTGATGTTGCCAAAGTGCATTTAGAGTCATACGATAGCAAGCATGACTTAAATGATTTTCTCCATTATCACGCACCATTCGGGAACTTTATTTGTTTCGGGAAGTGATTTGATGAAACGTCTATAGCGTGACGTTCGTGTCGTTGCTAGCTTGCCGCGAAGAGCTTAGCGCGCTTATGGATAGTGACACTGGCTAGCCAGTTAGCTTAGCTCACTTAAACCCGCACAAACAGCGCAGTATTATCATTAACCTTCCTATGACACTTCAATATTGGTCTACTTTTGAATTCGCCGGTGTTTTCGGCTGAAAAAGGTCAGAAGCACCGCCGGCTTGAGCATGTTGTGTCGGTAGAGACTGCGAGCTTGTCAAACGCCTTGTTTACTTTTTTGACGCGGTTGAAGTGGTGATTATATCCGTCTTTTGATAGTATGCTATATCACATTTAGAGATGACTGCACTGTGTTGCATATAACTTTAAACCTCTTTGCTTATATGAGACGGAAAGTTGACAAACTGTAGCAGGGCAATGTATACAAGTGTCCGCCCATGACCACAAGCTGAGGCTTCATATTCAGAGTTTCCGACATGCACCTGTTTGCATTGTCCAGTTTTTCATCGTTCATTTGGTTCATTTTAATCAGCTTGTCATTGAATCTGACTTAGAACCGGCGCTTTTTAAATTCCATCTTCTAAAAATAATAAAAATAATTAATAAAAATATGTTTTTTTTTTGTTGAAACAACATTTTCTCTGGTGACTAGAGTTTTCCAATAGCTGTGTCCCAAATCGTCTTCTTCCAGCCATGGGGCCCAAAAGTTTGTACTTTAATTTAACCTTAATTGGTTTATTTTGCTGTAACTCAATGTCTTTTTCTATATTTTGTCCTAATGCAAAATAACAACACGTAAAGCATCTTGCAAAACTTAAAATGCATTCAAAACTAAAATAATATATAAACCATTTCGTTTTAAAACTAAATCTTTACCTAATTTGACTGCTGGACTGCTCCATGATTGAGGAAGGAGGACACATTTGCGCAGAAGTAATATTTATTTAACCTTTTTTTTTCTTTAGACCCCGTCATACAAAATATGATAGAGAATTATGTTATATATAATTTATAGGTATAATTACTTCTATTTATTTTGGGGCCCTCAGATTTCCTGCTTACCTTGCTTAAATCCTCCTCTGAAATGGAACTTTGGTTTTGTTTTGTGTGTTGTATGAATGTAATCATACATCAGTTACCATGTAAGGTTAGTAAGTTTGGTACTTTCTTGCCACACACAGCTTTTCATCTGCTATATACCAGGGAAGTATTCAGTTTTGTCAAGAACTAAACTAAGCAGCATCACATTACAAACATTAAAAACCTTCATTTGATATGACCGTGTACTTAACTGCTTTGATGAGGGAAAGAACTAAATGCTGAAAAGCATTGAAAAGGACACACAATTAAAAACAATTATTTATTTTAATAAATCTATTTTTCGATTTAAACACAATTTATTTTATTTTGAGAAACATTTAAAATATTTATGGACAGTAAACATGTCAGGCTAATTAAATTATTGACTAAATAGACTTTAATTACTGTTCATTAGTAGTAATAAATTATGATCTTATTCTGCATCCATAATCCTACCCAAACCTAAACCCAACTTCTGCCTTACTGACTATCATAGATATATACACTTTATATCGCATACAAACCCGGAACATGCGTCAATAGCGCTGACACATTTGTACAGTGCTCCCAGGGCAAATGTCATTCAACAGCACTAGTCAAGACTAAAGCCAATCTGAAGATGCTGCACTTTAGCGCTGTGCATGGGTGTAGTAATGAGCAAACAAAGAAAACAAAGCACAAAGGCAGAACATTTCATAGGTAAGATTTTGTTTTTTACGTTTTTATGTTAAGGAATTTTGTGCTAAACTAGTAGCGTCATTGACGATAATACAGTCACTTACTGCACTGACCATAAGGCAAAGTAGCACCAACTCGCACTAAATACTAGGCTTATGCTAGTTTTGTTGAATAAAATCAGCAAACAATGTAAATAATAATGACAACAAGATGCTGCCGTGCTAGAAACTTTTATTATTGTCGGCTAAGAGTAAGAGTCGTTCATAACGGAGATTAATTTACAAACGAATCACTCCCTCCATCGATGTAGATAATTTTTTCATAATTTAAAAAAATATTTGTGTACTGACCACCGGGAAAACTCCCCATCAAAGATATATGTATAAATGTTTACATATGGCTCTGGATGGCCAGTCCTCCACTACACTTTGGTCCCACATTAGTTTCAAAGGAGCGTTACCCTGTACTAAAATGGTGGCTTTATTAACACATTCCTTCCTATAGACACCAATAACGTAGGCGACAACTAATGTAAATATCTATGACTAACTATTAATAAACAGCTTATTAGTGGTTTATTAAGCTAGATGTGCTAGTTAATGGCGTGAATTGTGACCTAAACTAAAATGTTGCCCAAATCTTTAATTATTTTGAGCTTGTTAGAGGCTGACTTGCTAAATCATTTATGGGGCTATATGCTAAGCAAAATATGTCCTTTGTTGATCATTGGCCTCTGATTGTTGATTCTTTCTGTATGCATTAGCACAAACTCTGCTTGTAAACACAGTTGTTGAGTAATGCGATGGTAATGCGATGGGTTCAACAAAGCAATTAACAATTGACTTATATGGGTTTTTCTCAGGATGACACAGATCAGGGAAGCCGATGACTGAAATTTTATGCTGATTTATTTCCGCCCCTGTCCTTCATCTAGTAAAATCTAACAGTTAAAATAAACACTTAACAGTTGGTGTAGTAAATGATGTATAAAATGACGTATACACTTTGGAGATAGCACAGTGTGTAATCAAAATGACTAAAATCTCCAAAAGGTGCATCGAAATAACAATACTATAAGTACAATCATAATCTAATAAACGTTTGCGAAGAGAAAAGGCTTAGTCATAACAAAACGCTTGGCAAAAAGCCCACAGGAAACGCAGAAGTGAGTCACAACCTCTGTGACGGACAGATTGTTAATCAAGAGTCAGCTTTTTGTCACGTTTTTCCAAACAACATCAGTAATTTGAGGCACGATCAACCGATGTTAATTAATTAATATGGACCAATGGGTGTAGTGTTTTTCAGCCAATGATGAACTTCTGGTGATTGCTTTATGTGACTATTTTCAATTTCATACAGTGTTGCCAACTATTTCCAATGAATACTAGCTAAAGCCTGCCTGAAAAGTAGCCAAATGTTGCCAGATGGCGTCACACACTAATTTGCATATTAGTAACGTCATCACGTAGTATCTGACAAGCGTAAACCCGTCATGTCTTTACTCTCTGAGGCGCCGAGTATTATATTAAAACATTACATCCAGATGCACAATAAACAGTTTCTTATTAACATATTACTTTGTGTGATGACGTCATTTGACTTAAAACTACATCTTTATGTAGTATACGAAATAGATGTTTTTTCAAATTGACTGAACATCTCAGCAAAAACATTTGAAATTTGTACATTTAGATTTGTATGAAAAATGTAGTTGACTACCTCAGCCGCAAACCTACTATGTTGACAGCTGAGCCAATCAGAGTCAGAATATCTGCTTGAGGTTTTGTTTGAGGAACTGTAGTTTACCAACAATAGTAACATCAGAATGACTGAATTGAATGCAGGAGGTAAATTTACATCATCACTGTGACACAGCTCTCGGGCCTCCATCCAGCATCTGACTTCACTTGTGGCCAAAAGCCACCGATCACTTGGAATGTCTGGAGTCTGTTTGCATTTCTCACAACACAAGCACTTCTGAATGCGTCTCAAAGTTCAAACTCACTTTTTTTTCAGACCCCAGAAGTGTAGGCCAGTTTTGAAAGCCAACGTTTTCAGCTTCACTGGGGTCATCTAATGATAGAACCAGACTGACCGTCAGTTCTGCCTCATGCTCTCTCTGTGGTTTCTGCTGTAGCGTGAGTCACAGCTGCTGAATTGTTCTTGTTACCGTAATCCTGTCCGCAGGTGCTTGAGAAGTACCCCAACACACCCATGAGTCATAAAGAGATCCTGCAAGTGATTCAGAGAGAAAGGCTGAAGGAGATAAGGTAAGGTCGATCTCCAGATGTTTCTTTATTAAAACAGATCGTTCTTCAGCCAACACACTTCTATTACTTTATTTTACTCACTGTCCCCCGTCCCTGAGATGTTCCACATCATGTGCATTGTCATTTATTGTCTTTTGTTTTCCCAAAGCACATTTAATGTGGCCGCATATCTAATTATCACATCTTTTTTGTTGTTGTTTGTTTGTTTCATTTCTCTGTTGTCTTCCAGAAGGTAAGATTATATAGTAGTACACCCTTCCCTGTAACTAACTTAATTCCATTGGCCGATCCCTATGCTTGTTATTAACATGTCCCAGTTGACGAAGCATGCAAAGGGACTCTGGCTCTGTTTTCACCTCGTATTAACCTGCGCTTTCAGTGATCTGATTACGAGTGGTCAGTGGAGATGTTTTCAGTTGGTATCAAAGGGCACCTAGGTTCCCCCTTTTTTCAGATTTATTATGAATCTTTTGTGTCTCCAGATTGTGTCTGTAAAGTTTCAGCTTAAAACACCCATCAGATTTTTCATTATACCTTTTATAAGATTCTGTTTTATACATTTTTGCGCTGGGTGGCGGTTTTGCTCTACTGCACCTTTAAGGCTAGTTCTCCCCGCCCACCATTTCTACATGCCTTTCTGCGTGCCTTAATCTCCTCCCTCGGCTGCGTCAGACTACAAACAGACATAAAGGACGCAGATCTCATGTAGCATTTGTGAGAAATACTACAGTAAGAACTTTTGCAAAGAAAATTTGATGCATTTCCTGTGTTAAGTTACAACGATGAGTCACACACAATGTCAAAACAAAATTCACGCGCAGACACACAAACACACACACATACCCAGCACAGATACGATACGCACATACATACAGACAGATCGCGTTGAGCTTTGCACTCTTTTTGCACGCAAATGTAAAAGGATACAGGCTAATCTCCACTGCTGTATGGATATCTGTTATGTTAGTGTACAAAATAAACCTGATTTAACGTCCACAAATTGGGATTGAAACGTCTTCTTTTATAATTGTTCTGACGCGCAGCTGTGCTGATGAAGTAAATTTGAAGTAAATCGTTGTAATTCATTACACACGTGGACTGTTTTAAAACATTTTAAACTTGTAAAACTCACTCTTGATCACATTTGATGATGATTAAGGATCCTAGCAAACTGACAGACCTTTTATTCCCGGTAGCTTTGCACATGTCCCCTCTTGTTGAAATGATTATACACGTGACTACTGTGGCATGTTTGGCCGCTGTCAATCAATTCGGTGGGCGGGGGACCGCACTTCTACGTTCAGTTGCGGTCGGTCTGTAAATCGCTGCAATTGGTTCACTGTTCTTATGTTGTTAAATTAAAAAAAAAGGACTGGGTGTGTTTACGTCACCCCAATATGACCGCCTATACCCTATATCTACACATATGTCTGTCCAAACAGCTTGAAAAGTAGATTTTTCTCCATAGGTGCCCTTTAAGCAATTCCATGCAAATGTCAACCTTGCCATGAAAAAAATGATGACTTGTTTGGTCACATTAATAACGCATGTTTATTTTCCTCATTTAAAATATAAAATATGTTTACAGATTGATATAGTCCATAACTCCCATAATAGCTGGAATTGCTCTATTATCATATTTTTGAATGCGTCTCTTGTGATAATTTTTGTTTTGGATTTGCATTGAAATCCTTTCCTTGAATTTTGTCATTGGCTGTAGGGTTGAGTGTGACACACGAGTACTATTGAATGAACAAACCCATTCCACATAGCAATTTTGTGTTTAAATGATGTCTAGACCCACACGGAATCTGCATGCGCAGAATTCCGCAGATTTTCCGCAGAATTCCGCAGATTTATGCAGATTTTAAGCCCATTATTAATTCTGTTTATTTACTTGAGTAAATGTGTAAATTTGAATTTATTCAGTTTTTATTCAGTAATTTCTTACTTTTTATTTAATATATTAAGGTGTAAGTTATGATACTCCGCTGGATACTCCCAAAATAATTTAGCAGAAATCCGCAGGTTTTTACTAAAATTCTCCGCAGAAATAGCAAAAAACGTCCGCAGATTCCGTCTGGCCCTGATGATGTCTAAAAGACATCCAAGCATAAGCTTTTGGCAACATAGGCTCATACTGAAATTGCAGCATTATATACATTTCTGGAGATTGCGAATTATGTAGCCAGAAGTATGTATGCCTGCATTTCTCTTTAAAACGAATGCTACGGGGCGAATAACGGTCCCGGGAAGCAGGTTAGACAAAAAAAAGAAGCCAAAAAGTAAAATAAACAAGTAAATAACAGTGTGAGAATGTAGTAAAATGTAAAACCTAGTAAAAATCAGGTGAGGGCTTTTAAAAACACTATGGGTTGGGTTTAGGGAAGGAGGAGGCTGGGTCAGTCAATCGGTCAGTCAGTCAGACAGTTGACAGCAGCCTCAGGTGGATTTACGCAAGAACAGCAGCCGCGAATGGCACTCGCAAGAGAAATTTGAGATCTCAAAAAGTGTACACAGCGGCCTCTGGTGGATTCGCGAAAACATAAACTGGAAAAAAACATACCTCCTGGGAAATATTTGGTGCTCTCCAGAAATGTATATAGCGGTACGTTTTCAGAACGAGCCTGGGTTGACTTTTTTGATAAAACAAGAGTTAATTTGGGGTGTCAGTGAAAATCTAGGACACATCTAACAATAGTCCAACGACAGACTAGTCATCAAAAATACAGATTAGACAGACGTGTTCTTTCCTGTCTATTTGATGACTAGTGTGTTATTTTCACTGACAGCTCAAATTTTGCCTTGTTTTAGCCATGAATTCATTGTTTGAAAGTCTTTTAGACATCTTTGAAAGACCAATTCCAGCGTTATGGATGTGGATGTGATTTTCAGTAAAAACCTAAAACATAAATTCACAGCATTTGTTAACATTATATTGAAACATCTGTTTAAATTTTCTGAAACAACTAACCTGTTAACATTTTTTTGATTTATTTGAGAAAAATAAACATGCGCTATGGATGTGACCAAAAAGAGTCTGCGAGTTTACAGTATAAAACTTACTTTGTAGAAATCCTGTGAATTAAACTGCATGGTCCAAAAGAAATAATGCAAATCAAAAAGATAAGAGTTAGCTCACTATATAATAAAAATGCTTGATTTTATTTGCCTTTTTTTGCATTTATGAGGGAAAAGCTTAGTTATGGATGTGACAGATGTGAAGTTGCTACTTGTGTGAGTTTAATAAAATCCAATAAAATTGTTTACAAACATTGACAGAGGTATTTTTAAGTATTTTACCAGCACTGTAAAATACAAGCATACCCATGGTTAACATTTGCATGGAATTAACACAAATGTGCTTGTTGGGATGTTACAGGGCACTTCTCTGTTGACTTCAGCTTGACAGCATTATCCATAATATTCAAAATCACGCCCCTCTTACCGTTAGTTTGCTATGAGGGAATGATGAGCAAAAAGAAAGCCCCGCCCCCTACTCAATATTCCATTCCATTTCAGTGGAAGTACATAAACATACTGAAATAAAAGTCTCAGTAATCTGATAAAATGTGTGTTCCACTGCCTTGAGATCTGATGAAAGAGTACAACTGAAAACATTATAGATGCTGTTTACACCTGTATGTCATAGCAACTGCTTGTGATCACATCAACTGTAACGCATATCTACACTAGGTGTGAACAGGGTCTCTATAAACCCCAAGCATATTGGTCATGGATTTGACCATAGTGCTTATCATCAGAATTGGTTGCTTGTTTTGCTTTTGTCAGTTTTGCTTTGACTTAAAAAAAAAAGTCCATAACATCTACATTCAGAATAATTTTAGTCAATAATGAAATAATTTTGGGCAGCATGGTGGCACAATGGGTAGCACCATCGCCTCACAGCAAGAAGGTTGCTAGTTCGAGCCCTGGATGGGTCAGTTGGCATTTCTGTATGGAGTTTGCATTTTCTCCCCGTATTCGCGTGTGTTTCCTCCGGGTGCTCTGGTTTCCCCCCACAAGTCCAAAAACATGCGGTACAGGTGAATTGGGTAAGCTAAAATTGGCCGTAGTGTGTGTGTGTGTGTGTGTGTGAATGAGTGTGTATGGATGTATTCCAGTGATGAGTTACAGCTGGAATGTCATCTGCTGCCTAAAACATGTGCTGGATAAGTAGGCGGTTCATTCTGTGTGGTGACCCCAGAATAATAAAGGGACTAAGCAGAAAAGAAACTGAATGAATGAATGAATGAATGAATGAATGACAGAACTTTAGGTTGGTATATTACGCCTTTTAATATCATTACGAATATTCAAGAGTAAGTCTAGACAATAAGTCTAATAGATTGATTTCTGGAAAAGGCAAATAATTCAAAACAAAAATAGTAACTGGCTTAAATCTGAAAACGTAAGCTTAAAATTGAGAAATGTTTCCTTGATGACTAACTAAAGTAAATTTGATTAAAATGACTTGAAAACAGATGCAATTTGAACTAAGCTAAACTGAGACAAAAAAATAAATGAATAAAAAAAAAACAGCTTACTACTAAATACAAACAAATACTACTTAAATCCCATAACGTAATTCCCAAAATGTTAAAGGGAAGATAAAATTAAATTTGGTCATTTAAAAAGGCCAATTCAAAATGTTAATAATGAGATTTAAAGTTGGCTGGGAAAAAGATTTGGGAATCCAACACTCTGCACACACATGGGACAGTTGTTTGACTTTAATACAGTCATGCTCAACCAACTGATTCAATACAAGGTCATACGTCGTCTACACTACACTAAAGCCAAGCTCCAAAAAATCTTTCCTTCTGTCTCATTAATGTGCGATAGATGCAAGACACCAAAGGACTCGGTTGCTCACGCCTTTTAGCTCTGTCCCTTATTGAACAGATTCTGGACAAACATATTTAACAGTCACTCCAAGGCTTAAGCTAAAGCAGACCTTTTGTACCAATGCCGAACTTGCCATCTTGGGCTTCCCACAAAACACATCTTCTCTCCCTCAAACAATGCAAAAGTCTGTAATGCAAGGCATGATGGTGGCTAAAGAGTAGTGCTTAACAATTGGAAATCCCCTTTACCCCCCTCAAAACTGGATTTCTGACATCATATCTGTTTTTTAAAGTCTAGCTTCATAAGAATTTTTGGCTACTTGGGGTCAATTTCTTGATTTATTTGACAAATTTGTATCTTAAGAGCAATCCAGTGACCCCCCTGAGGTTTAAGTTATATACCCCCTCTAGTTTTGAGTGTATGTTTTGTGACTATGATGTGTGTTTTTTGTCTCTTTTCTTTGTATTCTTTTATATTGTCTTTTGTTTGTCTACAGTACAAGCCAATGTTTTTTCTTGTTCTCTGTGTGTATATATACAGTTGAAGTCAGAATTATTAGCCCCCCTTAGATTTAATTTTTTTTTTTATATTTCCCAAATGATGTTTAACAGAGCAAGGGAATTTTCAAAGTATGCCTGATAATGTTTTTTCTTCTTCAGAAAGTCTTTTTTTTTCTTTTTTCTTTTTTTTATTTCGGCTAGAATAAAAGCAGTTTTTAATATTTTAAATACCATTTTAAGGACAAAATTATTATTAGCCCCTTTAAGCTAATTTTTTTCGATAGCCTACAGAACAAACCATCGTTATGCAATGACGTGCCTAATTACCCTAACCTGTCTAGTTAACCTAGTTAAGCCTTTAAATGTCACTTTTAGCTGTAAAGAAGTGTTGTGAAAAATATCTAGTCAAATATTATTTACTGACATCATGGCAAAGATCAAAGATAAAATTAATCAGTTATTAGAGATGAGTTGTTAAAACTATTATGTTTCTAAATATGTTGAAAAATCTCTCTATTAAACAGAAAATGGGTAAAAAATAAACAGGGGGCTAATAATTCTGACTTCAGCCATATATATATATATATATATATATATATATATATATATATATATATATATATATATATATATATATATATATATATATATAAACCTTAAAATAAAGTAATTTTAAAAATGTTAATAATAGCATATAAATGATACTAAAATATACACTTTAATGTACTTTTACCTCTATTTTTGTATTATGTGCATTTAAACTAATACTTTGTTTCAATGCATATTGCAGAATTGATTGCAATATTATATTGTGCTTGACAGAAAATTCATAAGCTAGACATTTAGATTTTTGCTTTGTTTTCTACAATATAGATAGATGTTTGTGTGTGTGCACATATCCAGTCATTCGGAATGATGCTGATAGGGCAGGGGTCACCAATCTCATTCCTGGAGGTCCGGTGCCACCAGGGTTTAGCTACAGCTTGCCTCAACACACCTGCCTGGGTGTTTTAAGTATACTTAGTAAGACCTTGATCAGTTTGTTCAGCTGTGTTTGATTAGGGTTGGAGCTAAAATCTGCAGGACACCGGACCTCCAGGAACAAGTTTGGTGATCCCTGTGATAGAGCATATGTTGCAGTATTTTTATATACAATATCTTCTTCTACAATAAAAAATTCTGTTCACACACTATACATGCACAAATATGCTTATCTTTGCAGCTTTTAGGTTTTTAAAATTGGATAAGCTTATTTTATATTATTCTTTTTTTTAGTGGCACTTCTCCTCTTGCTTGTCTCAATGCCATGCTCCATACAAACTCACGTGGAGATGAAGGGATCTTCTATAAGGTTCCAGGCCGAATGGGAGTCTACACACTGAAGGTAATTATCATTTTGAATGCATGATCTGTTCTGTGTATTCAAAATGGACTGTTTGATTGGATTCTAATAAGCTTTTGTGGCTGTTTTTTGGAATATGTATCTGATGTGTGATGTCTTGTGTTTGTATGTGGGCAGAAGGACATTGGAGATGGGGTGAAGGAACTGTCAGAAGATGCTTCAGACGACAGCAGCGACATGTCGGATTCTCGATGCACAGAAAATACCAGCAGCACTGGCTACAGCAAGGACGGACGCAGAAGAAGGTGGACAAGGAGAGGTAATGCATTTTACTGATATGATTGGAACTGCTATGTTTCTAAGTAGCTACAGTAGTTGGTTTGTGAAGCTTGCTTGCTTTGATAAGCCAGTGCAAGACTTTTTTTTTTCAAACAGTTGATAAAAGTGACAAGTAATTATTGGAACCATTATTACGATTTTCATTGTGTCCTTTTGCAAAAGCATTTTTTTTCAAACTGCAAGCATAATGTAGAGTGTGTTAATTACTACGATAATATAATTAATCTGAAAAATAGATGAGGTAAAAAAAATGTGGATGAGTGAATTCTGACAACATTTCTCAATTGACAATGATTATGAATAGTCATTGGGATTTAGAATTTTAACCAAAATTATTGGTTCATGACTATAGTAACAACGGGTGGACTACAAGGGTTGAATCCAAATGCAGTTTAATTAAAGTATCATCAGGCAGGCAAAGGTCAAACTGCAACTGCAAACTGGAGCATAAAGGTAATCCAAAGAGTGGTCAGAAAAATAGGCGAATGGTCAGGTAGAAATGGCTGACGTGATACTGACGTTTCGACATAGTTTAGAGATCCTGAAGCGCAAATGTTTCGAAACACTGCACCGAACACGCAAGTCATGTAACTAAAGTGTTTCGAAACACCAGGTCACGTGACTAAAGCGATTCAAAGCATTGGTTATTTCAGAAGTGTTTCGAGACTGGGCGATTCTGCGTTTTACTGCCAGGGTCAGAAAAAAACTCAATCTCATGTAGCCTAGTGGACTCTAGTCTCGACTTGTACATTGATTTAGAACTGGTGTGTGTGTGAGGTGCATGATGGGATCTGTAGTTCAGTTTGGTGGCAGATGTGTAGTTCGGTGACAGGGACTAATCTCCAGTGATCTCCAAGGAATAGATCACTGGTGATCGTAGCAATGACTAAAATAATATACTTTTATTGACTAAAATTAGAATATATATCATTCCTAGACATTTATTGAATCAAAGCTGGACTAAACAATAAAAAAGTGATAGGTTGAATACACGTGATAGCTTAAAATGACTTTTGATGAAGACTTCAAAGCAACTTACAAAATGAACACTACTTCAGTAGCAGAAGATTCTTCAGAAATCATTCTAATATAATGATTTTGTGCTCGTGATTCATTGTTATTATTATAAATGTTCTACTACAGCATTTATTTTAAATATGTCATTTTTAAAAATGTTTCTTCAAAATAAAGACTGTTTGTGGTATTATTAATTAGTTAATTTTTGCAAAATAAATAAATATTGAACTTTTTTTAAGTAAACATACTGACCCCAATCATCTGCATGATAATATACATTTAAAGATTTATTTACATTTATTCATTTAGGAGATGCTTTCATCAATACAAATGAAGATAAAAGAAAAAGAAGTATATAAATGCTATGACATGTCTAAACTAGATGAATAATTAATTTTTCGCTTCCCTACGAGCATAGGGAGAGGAGAGAGTGTGTCCTACAGGTGGTTTGTTAAGCCCACTCACCTGTGTGGGGCACACTCAGAATCACACAATACATTACATTTACGATTACATTAGTTACATATATTTAAAAATTATTACTGTACTGCTAACATGCTAACGTTCTCTACTGAACGAGCAGGTCTGAATCAAAAACCAGGACAAGGTAAAGGACATTACATTAAAAAAACGAAACTTACATGTTTATTAAATAAAATAGACTATTATAGCTGTTCCTCTTGAAATATTTATTTTTCTTCAGCTTAGTTCCTTTATTCACCAGAGGTCACCACAGCGAAATAAACCACCAACCTTTCCAGCATATGTTTTATGCAGTGGATGCCCTTTTAGCTCAACCCAGTACAGGGAAACACCCATACACACACATTCACACACATACACTACGGCCAATTTAGTTTATCCAATTCAGTTACAGCACATGTCTTTGAACTGTGGAGGACACCCACAGAGAAAGGCACTCTATGCATTATATCTGTGTGTGGTCGATAAATGTGCCCCCTTAGAGTCGAAATATTCTCTCAATGCAAAGCACCCTTTAAACAGGAAATTCAACCCTCTCTCTCTCTCTTTCTCTCTCTCTCTCTCTCTCTTTTTGCAAGATTGATACCACTTCCTCATATACAGAGATCAGTACAGATCTATGTAAACAAACACAGGCTTTACGTCAAGCCATGTTGTAGTATATGTTTTTGAGAATAATGAACTCAAAGAAAGTGAGATTAGGCAGATTCCAGCACTGTAAGTAAGACATTCTTGATTCTTAACATGGTGGTCAAACTCTAATGGACTGAGAAAGGAGGATTGTTGTGTCAGACCAAAAGAAACTAGCTGGAAAAAGCAGGAAATAATTATTGCAATGTCAGCAGTTTATTTAAGAGTTTGATTAAGCGTTTGACTTTTTGAAAGTGATTCATGGTGATTTTACAGTGTGTTTTCATTATTCCCTATTTCTTTTATATGTTCTTTCACCAGTGATGTGTTGCCATTACATATTAAGTCTGATAAATATATATAAGTTTGTGTTCTGCCTTGCAGATATAGGCCTTGGATATAGATATAGATTAATTTGGGCCAGGGAGCATCTGGCCAAGCTCCTCTGTCTGGGTGATGTCACGTAATTTGCGACAAACGCTGAAAGGTGATGTGACGCTCTCCACATTTGGCGAAACCATAGAGCAAAACAGACAGCAAAATGGCATAATGCAAGTTTGTGTACTCCTTGGAGAAAGACGAGTTTAAACAGTGGCTGAAGCCTGTCGCTGAAAACAACAGCATCATTTATTCTTTTAAGCTTTGTTTCTTCCGAGCTTATCTGAGTTCTGTTGCATGGTTGTGCTCCATTCATTTAAACTACACAACTGTTTATTAAGTTAAGGGTTTGATACTGATTAGAATGCTGATTAGTGGTGATAATGTCTTAAAATATTCTGAGAAGGTCTTTAAAACGTTTTAAAAAAGATTTTGAAATTACCTTTATGACTCCTGCATATACCCTGTAAATACACACTTGCATTTAAATGCTTTTTAGTTTTTGAGCATTTTGCATCAAATTAAATCGGAGATCACATCACATCAATTTCTGCATAAAATATCACAAAAGGTACATTTTTAAAAATATTTGTTTTTAGACCACACACTACAAGTATTTTAAGAGTTAAGAAAGCAATTTTGCAAATGTACGATGTATTAGCCACCAATATTTATCAGCCAATATTGGATTAATTTAAACCTATTGGCATATCGACAATATTATGAGAAAGCCTGGTACCAGCATGTCTTTTAAATAATCCAATGTTTTTCTCAGAGCATTCAATCATTGAATAACATGCGTCTAACATGTATGTACTTTCAGATGTGCATTACGAAAGAAATAGTGTTAAGTATGATTAAATGATGACAGAAATGTTATTTTTGGGTGAACTATGCCTTTAACTTGTGCCTATGTTAACATGTTTGTTGAAGTTGAATGTTTAACTGATCCAATCCATATTCAATCAAAATAATTTAATGGAGAAATAACTAGTTAGTACTGTTTGGTATTGTATGCAATTGATCAGTATCAGTATTGGAAGCAGAATAAAGTCCTGTACTGTCTATGGTTTCCGCTACATTCATTCTTGTCATGGCTTCCATGACACCAAAATTCATCCCACCATGGCTACATTACAGATTCTCATTCAAAACATTCAGTGATTGTTGTTGTTTTTTGAAAAGCGGGATATAATCGAACTAAACAGTATTAAAAGTTGAGAGAATTAAAACAGAGCAAACTTTTCCCTTTAATCCTTTAAAGGGCCATGACACCCCCCACTTTCGGTTTAAGTCTACTTCAGAATTTTTTCAAAAGATGCATGATTAATGGGCGGAGCTCTGCGAGCATCGGGCAGGAGTGGGCGTGGCCAGCAGGGGAGAAGGTGAGCGAATAACTGCTGTTGTCAGTTAGCTCACAAAATGAGACACAAACCGTGAGGAGACGCATGAGTTTATAGTTTACAAAGTTAAAATGCAAAGAAATGAACAGTGATTTAATGCCCTGCTACATTTGTTATTCATAATTTCATTAACAGAAAACCACAATTTATATCATTTTAAAGATGTGTGTTCATGTAAACACTATAAATGAGGACTTCTCCCTCAATCCCCGTATCCAGCAGACTCAGTGCAGCAGGTCTCCTGACCTGTTCATTTTAACCATTAACCCTGCTGGTAATCTGGAGGATTTAGGCAAACACAGCAGCATGGTGATGTGTCTGAATGTGAACGAACTCCTGATAAAAGACAACATCCGCCATTCTCTAATTCTCGTGCTGCTCTCCCTACAAAAAAGCTAGCAGCACACACACAGCTTTGCTGTATGATAGGCCCTGACAAGATCGCGGGGGAACACATGCAACAAACCCCGTGGATCATGGAAACAAACGCATATAAGCCTACATGAACGGCTAAACACTGTGCCGTGGTTTCCGTGTCTCTCAGCTCGGGCTTGACACTGGCAGGTCTGGCAGGTCTCATGAATAATTAAGCAGCCGGCTCTTCTCATAGGATAAGAAAACTCCGCTATGAATAATAATGAGAAATCGACGCGTCATCATTGCACTTGCAGTTCTGCGCTATGTCACCGATTTTGATCCAGCCCCAAAAATCATTTTAAACCCGGAAACTAAAATTAGCAGACAAAAGCTCAAAAATATCCAGTTTCCCCCACAATTAAAGCTGACAGGTGCTAACATTGTCTTAACTGATGCTCAACACACACACACTGGTAATATAAAAAAAAAGGTTCAGTTATGATAGCTTTCAGTTATGATGAACACAGTTTCCATAATTATACTTTAAAAAAAAAAAAATTTTCAGGGTTTTACCTTTATTTTTGATAGGACAGTAGAGAGAATTGACTGGAAAGCAGAGAGAGGGAAAGGATTGGCATAGGACCGCGAGGCGGAATTGAACCTGGGTTGCCGCGAGCACCAGAGTGCATGTGCTGACGCACTAACCACTACACCACTGGCGCCGTCCCTAATTGTACCTAATAGATAAAGGTCTATGGTTCTGCATACGATGACTCTATCTTGCTGGAGTTCATAGCCTTTTTGCTTCACTTCAGGACGCATCATTGCCGCTTTGTAGGTCTGTTGGAGACATTCATAAATACTTCTAGCAAATCTAATAAATGTTGGAGACATACTCGTTACATAAACGCACTTCATCAGCGTTTATTTGAGAGCGCACTGGAAAAGCTGTGCTTGAGCCTATTTGAGTGTGTGCAAGAAGTTTTGTGCATGAACCGAGGAAGTCGGAGCTCAAGCAAAGAGATTTGCATGCTCGTATAACATGAATGCGATCTTGACTTGTAATACATAGTGCATAATCAGAAGGAATCAGGAACTAGTGTGTCTGACGTGCATGATGGGAGTTATAGTTCATAAAAGTGGCATATGGGTAGCTTTCCAGTGATCTGCAAAGGCTAGATAACTGGTGATCGTGACAGATAGTAAATTATTCTAAGCTTGGAAAATTTTTAAACGTTATCAGACCTTTATAGAATTAAACCAATTTTAATATTAATACTGAAACTAGGCATGGGGTTATAACCGTGTTTAAGGTATGTCGCCGTTTGGAAAAGTCAAGGTTTTAAAACCATAAAAAATTATGTTATACCGTTCCTAAGGTATGTGTAAGATTTTTTATTTATGTTTTTTTTTTTTTAGTTTTTTAGGACAACTATCTCCAGCAGAAAAGATCTCCAAAGATGCTGTTTTAAATTGGAAAAAAATCTTTTTAGAAACAAATGAAGACAGCAGAAGTCAATAATTTATTTGAATTATTTAGCCTGACATGTTTAGTGCTCCAAAACATTTAAATGTTTCCCAAATTAAAATATATTGTGTACAAAAAAGAAAAAGGTTTTGTTGTTTACCCAGGCATTTAAAAACAAAATATTTTAGAGCATCAATCTCAATACTGTGATATTGTGAAACTGTGATATTTATTTCCAAGGTTATCATACCGTCAGAATCTTATACCGGCCCATGCCTACAGAATTGAATTGAATTGAAACCCATCCTCAAAAATAAACTGAGGGGGAAAAGATCAACTTTCAATTTTTCATCATTATACATTGTACCTTTTACTGTATTTTCAAACACATTGTTTTAGTATCAAAATACCTTGAATTTATGAAAATAAAGTTTAAATATGTCTGTCTGTGCCGTTTGTTTGTACATGTGAATATGAATGTTTGTGGTACAGATGTGCCAATGTACTGCTTTGCTATCTTTCTCAGTGCCAACAAAACTGCAGTCTCAGCCGTCCTCCCCGCAGTCTCGCTGTTCATCTCCATCAGTCTCCAGCAGCAAACTCATGTCTCCATCACAGAAACACAGCAAGAAGGCCCTCAAACAGGTGCTGCCATTCACACCTCTTTCAAAGTGCATTTCTCAGCTTATAAATAGCAATTACTGGAAATTGGGTTTGCAGTTTTATATAGGAGAAAGGGAAAACATCCGTTTATAATCATCATTTTGTTGGGAAATTCAATAAAAAACACTTTAATGTTATATAATATTGTGGTGATGCTTGTTTGGATAAGCAATAATTTTAATACTAATAATCATAATGAGTCAATAAAATAAATGAGGCTCATAGGCTCATTCTGAAAACTGTTTCGTAAGGATGCTATGCAAACCGGGGTAGTTCCAAATGCAGCTTTATTATCAGAAAGGTCAATCAGGCAGGGGTCAAATAGTCAAACCAGTGGCATGACTGGTTGTTGTAGTCCATAACATGGTAGATTTGTAGTTCTATGAGTGTGAATGTTTTCCAGCGACCTCTGGTGGTTAGCTATCGCTGGTAATCATGACAAAAATGTAGCCCTATATACATTTTTGTAGATTGCGAGTTATGTAGCCAGAAGTATGTATTGCTGCATTTCGTCTTTAAAACAAACGGTACGAGGCGGTATGATGTCGCTCCTTTTCGGGCTTACCAGCTTACTGCTTACCTCGGTATGGACGGCTTTCCCACTGTTACCATTTTGTCTAGTAGCTCGCCATGTGCGTAGGTGGACTTGAGTCCCTCAACATCAACCTTTGAGTCCAACAAAGAACGATTCCAGAAAGTGGGTAAGATAATAAAATAAACAAAATAAATAAAAAAAACAAAACAAGTAAGTAACAGGGTAAGAATGTGGTAAAATCAGAAAATGTGGTAAAAAGTAAGCGAGCATATGGCAACGTACGTACATGGTGAGCTACTGGACAAAATGGTAACTGTGGGAAAGCCGTCCATACCGAGGTAAGCAGTAAGCTGGTAAAGCTTTGTTAAGTGGTCAGCTAGTAAGTGTGAAATTGAGCAACATCATACCTTGTAGCGTTTGTACAGCTTTTATTTTTCTGGATTGCTTTTTAAAACTGTCTGTTGGGTTTAGGGAGGGAGGAGAGGGTCAGTCGATCTGTCAGTTAGTCATTCAGTCAGGTGACTGACAGCGGCCTCTGGTGGGTTTACATGAAAACAGCAGACACGAATGGCACTCGCGAAAGAAATTTTACGTCTTAAAAAGTGTACACAGCGGCCTCTGGCGGATTTGCGAAAACAACAACAAGACTTAAAAAAAAAAAAGACGAAATGTACCTCCTGGGATGTATTTGGCACTCTCCTGAAATGTATATAGGGGTGCATAATCAGAATGAGCCTGGGCTGCATTTTATACATTTTAGTTTAAACAACTGACACCAAAAAGTCATCTGTCTTGTTGCTCTTGTATGTATGAATGGTGTTACGCACTACTAAATAGCTACACATATATTTCAATTTTATTTACATTTCTATACTATATTTAAATTTAGATATCACTTTTTAAGTTAAGAAACTATTTACACTATTAGCTACTAGTTTAATTACCTGGCAAAAAACAAGATAATATTTAAAATAGACATCTTGTTGGATTGTTGAAGAATATTGATTGATGTTGGAAAAATGTTTTGTTTCTACTATGGAAGTCAATGGCTGCTTTTTTTCTCTAGAATTCCCTAGTATCTTAAGTATATTTAGAGTTTGAGTTAATGGGAAACCTGATTTTAGCAAGTAGGACTTGTTCCTGGATTAACATCTATGTTGATCCTGGAGCATGTTTACCATTTATGTTAAGTTTAGGCTTACGGTTAGGTTTATGCACTTCTACATGATTGTTATCCAACTATTATGCACCTTTGATTTGGGGAATAATTTGGTAATGATTGGGTTTAGGGGTAGGGAATAGGTGTGGATTACCTTTTTGAACAAATATGAGGTTCAAGGATTAACATAGATGTTAATCCTGGATCACATTGTACTTGACATGACATTCAGAAGTAAATAGTGAACACTTTAAGTGTTTCCAAATCTTCATTGATTTACAGATTTCTGCTGTTGTGCAGTATACAATGAACTGCCATTTCACTTCTACTATGATATTAATAGTTTTCGAGTCCCTCATGCTCTCGCTTGACAACATAGCAGTAACCTTTGTTATTCTCCATCCTTCCCCTTTATTTATAGGCACTGAAACAGCAGCAGCAGAGAAATCAGCGGCGACAATGTGGAATCTCTAATGCCTCCAGCCCACGACTGCTCCTCAAGACTGTCAAAGACATGGCTCATGACTCCTCCAAATCTTGTAAATACAGTATTTGGTGACACCATGAACTTTTCCGTCACATGACTGCACAAACAAAAGTTACAGTAACACTTTAGCTTAAGTACCCATTCTCACTATCATCTAGTGGCTTGTTACCTGCCTATGATTAAAACATCGGCTGTTTATTAGTACTTATAAGTTTATTAGTCCTTATAATTACATATTCTAAATACATCACTATACCTGCCTAATACATAAACCTAATTTAATAACTTAATCACTATTAATGAGCAGCAAATTAGGAGTCTATTAAGGCAAGTACATATAAGTTTATTAGTACATATAAAGCACATATTCTGCATGACCTTATTCTACATCCCTAATCTCTATCCAATACATAAACCTTAATAACTACTAATAAGAAGCAAATTAGAAGTTTATTGAGGCAAAAGTCATAGTTAATGTTTAATAAGAGCGAGAATTGTACCTTAAAATCAAGTGTGAGAAAAATCCTGTTTTTAATAATTTCTCATCATGATGGAAGAAGTAAATCGTGTTGTGAATGCTTTAAGTTCACTTAAAAGGCTTACAAAGTCATAAAACATACACCAGTGATAAACTTTCACTAGTTAAACTTTGCAAGGACTCCACAAGTCACATGTCTAAGCTTGGTTAAAGGTGCAATGGGATATCTTGAATGAAGAATGATAGCACTGAAACCCTTCATCCCACACTGCAAATCGCCATCCTACACTGTATGAATGCACACTTCACTTCATAGGAAAATTTATACTACACTAAGTAATTACAACACTTAACTTTAAAAAAAGGTAGGTTGTTGATGTTTGCCTGCAATTCTCTTATGTCTGAACCGTGTTTGTGAATGTGGCGATGATGTAATGCTTTCTGCACAAACAGGGTGCTCAGAGATATTAAATTATATATTTTGAGATACAAGAAGAACAGCATGTTCAGACTTGTGTTGTGTGATAAATCGAAATCAAAACGCAATTGCTCTTTGAAGAGGCTGTGGTATGAAATATATTAGTATTACTTAATTTCCCCCACCCAGAGCAAATGCGTGACTGCCATCTTTGTGTAACAGTCTCACTATTAATTGAGTGAGCACACTTTCGTTCTGCCCAATTAGAAATGTGCAACCAAACTAAGCAGAACATAATAAAAACCCAAACAAACAGGAAAGTTTGGACAAGTGGGATAGTGGCGTCTGCCGCTTCAGAAGCATTATTAGACTGATTAATATCAAAGAAAGCAGAAATGGTAATATGGGGATATTTTGGTTTCAAATTCACAGACAAGGAATAAAAACAGGTCATTTTTAAGAGCTGTCGCAGAATTGTTGACACGACTTATAGATTATTGAGTTGCAAATCAAATCGCAATATCTGCCAAAAAAAAATCCCCTAAATTGCACAGTGCTAGTTTGGACCCAGCGTTTTGATTGGTCAAACTCTACTTGGTTCTATACCTTCCACACAATATTAAAATGCATGTAAATACATTTGGACCACTTAATTTAGGGTGCATTCAAACTAGTACTTTTGATACGCACCCGGGTTCATTTAATGTCAGAGTATGATACATTTAGCTAGTGTGAATGTGTCTTCTGAACTTCTTCGAGTGCGCACCTGTAAACTGTATCCGAGTCCGCATGGAAGAGGTGGTCTTGGGGTATGGTTCATGCAAACTCTGGTCCAGTTCACTTCTGGTTTGAATGCAATTGTACCAAATAATTAAAGTAAACCGCCAACTGTACAACAAACTATCGTTTTCATAGCGTTTATTCGTGTGTGTGTGTGTCACGTGTTGTACCTTGGTGACAGGTCAGGGCAAACACAGTGACAATGTCTGCTTGCCTCCTCCAAAAACAGCTTCTGCAGACACTGTGTGATGTACTGAATGTTTATAATACTTTTGCTGCAGATGAATGTGAGTCGCTTTCTGTATGTCTAAAACCAAAAGATTCAGGAAAAGCAGAAAGACCGCGATGTGCGAATGTCTTTCCATTTTGGCGCTTTGCTACCTAGCAAAAGCCGTAAACAAATTAGCAGCTCCATGACGCAAGTGTACCGGTGTTCAGAAGGAAAAAAGAAAAAAGTGTGAACACAAACCAACCGAGAAGCTGACAATTGGGGACAATTAAACTTGGGTACGGTCCAGGCAATTGAACCAAGTGTGAAAGACAATCACCTATTGCATCTTTAACTATAATCCCAACTCAAAATTGCACACATTGCAACACTTTAAAAAAATTTGGGGTTCCACGCAGTGCCTTTACCGTGTCCCTACACAAATCAAACTAATTTAAATGTTTTTACAAATTTAAGTGGATTGAATGTAAAACTGTTAGGTTGTCCCAAAAAAAAAACTCAGAAATTGTGTTTAATTAGCTCATTCTTAAATAAGTAGTTTGAAAAAGCCGCCATATTATTTTTTTTTTTGAGTGAATGTTGATGCTGAAATGATGTATTGTGTGAATATCCACAAAATACCTACCAGAAATTAGACTGGATCTCTGTTTGTTGCAGCCTGGGAGCTGAAAAAGAGTGAACGCTGCCCTGCCAGTCCACATAACTCTACCTCCAGCTCATCCTCCTCTGTCAAAGCAGATGTGTGCCACACATCCAGTGCCCGCAAGGTGTCGCAGCGCTCCAGCCGGCTAAATGCCAGTGAGTATGGTCACCCAGCAGTGTCATTAGTGTAAGCAAATGAGATGCTGTAACTGATCCCACTGCCTGCATTTTCAGGACAATTGAGACGCAGCAGGTGTGAGATAGACGTGGAGACACCAGATTCCATCCTTGTCAACACCAACCTGAGAGCACTAATCAACAAGCACACCTTCTCACTGCTGCCTACAGATTGTCAACAGAAGCTGCTTAAGATGCTGCCTGAGGTTGACCAGCAGGTATTGAAACGCAGAAGTCTGTATTATTTTGTGATCATGAGTCACTTGGGGAGTAACAAGATCTCGCAAGACCCGATGTGTCTGGTAAGATCTGACTGGTCTCGCGAGTACATTACGGTCGGTGCTAAGTCAGTTCGAGTGCTGGTTTGGAGCCAGAGCCTAGTTACAAATCAGTCCTTTCACTTTCAACATAAAGCAATGGCTCTGAATCAGGAAAAACAGTTCTTAAGTAGCACCAAGACATTGCTTGGCTAGAAGTGAGAACTGCTTGCGTCAGGAACAGAAACTATTTTAAAAGCTTTATTTGAAATGGCAGCATGGCAACACATTATTGCTTTAAAATAACAGTGTGTTACATGAACAGGTTAGGCCGGTACACACCAAGCCTAAAACACACCTAAAAACACCAAACAAATAGCACCAACAAATCCAACATAGGCTCATTCTGAAAAGATTGTCCTATATACATTTCTGGAGATCGCGAATTAAGTATCCAGAGATACATTTCGTCCAGAAATGTATATAGGAGTTGACCACGACAGCAGGTTTCGAGTTCGGCAAAGAACAGTTCCAGAAACCAGGTAAGACTAAAACAGAAGCCAAAAAAAATAAAAAAATAACATGGTGGGAATGTGGTAAAAATTTGAAAACATTGTAAAAATCAGACAAGGGTTTTTCTTTTTCTGGATTGCTTTTTAAAACTGTCGGTTGGGTTTAGGGAACGGGGTTGGTTTGAAAACACTGTTGATTGGATTTAGGGAAGGAGAAAGGGGGGTCAGTCATTTAGGGCCCTATCATACACTCGGCGCAATGTGACGCAAGGCGTGGCGCAATAGTCTTTTGGTAGTTTCAGCTTGGCGCAAGAGTCGTTTTGAGGCGTTGCGCTACGCTGTTTAAATAGCAAATGCATTTGCGCTCAGATGTGCGCCCATAGGCATTCTGGTCTAAAAAGGAAGGCGTTCTGAGGCGGACCGCTGGCGCGTTGCTATTTTGAGAAACTAAAATAGATTTTTCATTAGACTACAACATCCTGGTCTAAACTCCGGCGCAGAGTTGCGCCTCGCTTACACACTGCTTAATACACACAAGAGGGCAATAGGCAAATATCTTTACATATGAAAAAATTTAAATATTAAGGATATATATAGGATATAATAAGAATAGATATAGGATATAAAGAAAGGATTAAAATATTACAAAACATATTATTTTCTAGCCTACATAAATATGAAAAATCACTGCTTCTTCATCTCGGGAGGCTTTTTCAGTTCATTCATAACAATTTGCTTTTGTATAATGTTATTATTATTAGCAGTATTATTTATTATATCCATATTTATAGTTGTTTTATTAAAAACAAGCTTAGATTTGCCCACCTGTCAGGTTTTTAACCATATGGGGCACAGCATGTGTTTTAGGATATAACTCAGGTTTTTGAGCACACTTCGTTATTGTTGTTTATTTATTCGTTTGCTGGAAATTAGAACTGAATTTAGAAATAGTTTTGAAACAAATATTTGTGCGTACAAACGCAATTAATTATTTATAGGCTAATTGATGTCTGTGCGTAAAGGTTTCCCTATCCAAGAGCGAAAGTGAAAGTAGATCATTTATCTCTCATTCTCATGCAGTAGATGCTCTGTTTAACAGTTTTCTGTTAAAAAAAACTGTCAACTGTTAGCTAGTGAAATGCTCAGATTTTCCACTTAGACTTACTTTACGTCCTATAAATAGCGAATGCGCTTATGGCGCGACGCAGCTGGCTCTTAAAGGGAATGGGAGATGTGACTCTAATTGTCTAACTCATTAAGAAAATAAACTCAACCCTTTTAGACCATGCGCCCGTCCTTAAATTAGCAAAAATGCGTTCTGACATGCCCTGAAAGCGCGCTGCGTTTTGCGCTCTGCGCATGGACTGTCAAAATAGAGCCCTTAGCCATTCAGTCAGTCGACAATCAGTCGACACCGGCCTCAGGTGTATTTACGCAAGAAGAGTAGGCTCAAAAGGCACTGGCGAGAAAAATTTAAGATCGCAACAAGTGTACACAGCGACCTCTAATAGATTCACGAAAACAAAAACTGCAAAAACAACGTAGCTCCTGGGACATATTTGATGCTCACTAAAAATGTATATAGGAGTACATTCTCAGAATGAACTGTTGTTGCCTTGTGTTGGATCGCGTCTGGACCAAAAACTGCATGTGAACACCAAATGTAGAAAATTGTGCTGAAATAAGAACTGCGTTCTGCATCTGTGCAAGAGGGCATGTCTTTCTGCTCCGCTTGGAGCATTAGTCTGTTTTCTCATTCAACAAAGGGAAACCGAACTTCTAACGCACACATTCAAAGTGTAAAGCAGAATTTAGTACTATTATCACAATAATTGTCACTTACCACGGACAGATTCACTCCCAAAATCTAATTCATCTGGTTTGCAAATATTTGAGAAATTTAGCAAAATTACCGCTGGCTTCTTGGCTCTGATTGTTTACTTGCTACGTTATTTAACTACATCACACTCGTGCTTTGATTCGTCACTGAATAACCAGTCAGAGCACTCTCTTCAGCCGATGCCGGTTCTAAATGCTCGGGTCAAAGAGCTCCAGCATTAACCATCAAGCAATGTGTGGAACACAACAAATAGTAGTCCCAGCCTTTATACGTCATTCATACTAGCAATGACTTTGTAGCAGCCTGTTGCTCTGGGTGGCGATCTGCTGCAAACGCTGGTCTGTGTAGGTTTACAGCACGGAGAATACAACCGGTCTCTGAGCAAGCTGAGAGAGGAGCTCTAATGGTGCTCATATTGGCTGTCGCTCAAGAAAATTGCTCTTTATTTGCATAAAGTTGAAGGACTCTGAATTTTGTCAAATCATTCAACACGCCCACCTGGTTGCCAATGGTCAATGCCGCTCGCATAGATGGAGGTTGCTGGAAGTCGCTCACTCTCCATTGAAATGAAGGTTCATTTGTCGGTTTGTTGCTGTGAGTAGCTCGTAGTGTGAATGAGGCTTAAGTCTTCTGTCTCATGCACACTAGCAACGACTTTGTAGCTGCCTGTCGCTCTGGATGGCCATCAGCTGCAAAAGCAGATTTGTGTAGGTCCACAGCATGGATACATCGGCCTCCGTGCGAGCTAAGAGAGGATCACATGCTCTCTACTGGTGCTGCTATTGGCTGTGGCTCAAAAAAGTCGCTCTTCATTTGCATAAAGTTCAATGATTTTCATCTGTCACGTCGCTTGACATGCCCACAGAGGTCGCTAGAAGTTGCTCGCTTTCGTCGAAATGAACAGCCGATTGCTGCTTTGCCGCTGCGAGTCGCCCGTTGTTTAAATAAGGCTTCCCTTGTATTCTTATTCTATATATATTACAGCACTCTACATGATCATATTATTATTCCTTGCAATCTTCGTCTATACAAACTATGGCCCTCTGAATGTGGGTACATTGGATTTGCTGTGTCTGGATGCTGATTTTACCTACATTTTGTGCTGTGATATTGTTGATTGTTTATATATATATATATATATATATATATATATATATATATATATATATATATATAAATATAAATATATTATGAGTAAGGGTTTCTTCTCTTTTTAAGTCTTGTCTACCCAGTCTCATCTCGTCTCATGGGTTATGTCTCAACACACCCCAATGAGTCACTGATGATTGGCTTGTGATGTTATGTTATAGGCCAGTATGGATGGAGCCTTGAAGGTGACCAGCTCTGCCTTGAACAATGAATTCTTCACATCAGCAGCACAGTCTTGGAAGGAGAGGTTGTCAGAGGGTCAGTTGATTTTCACGTGGGTTTGAATTACTTAAAAGCCAGTACTGCATTTTGTTTGGGTGATCCAATCACATTTAGTCAGCTGAGATGCAATTCTGCATATACCTGTCATCAACATATGTTTAACACCTACATATACACACCAAACACATTTTTAACACCGTTCACTTGTGATGAGATTGACAAAAGTGCATCTTCCTACTAGGTGTGAACCAACTATATATATATATATCTATAAAAATATTCACTTAATTATGGGGGAACTGCTTTATAATAGAAATGTGTGTGCTGTTAGTAAGCAGATTTATCTGTAGCATTTGTAAAAATTGTGGTTTAAAACTGTATTCACAGGTGAATTCACGCCAGAGCTGCGACTGAGAATGCGGCAGGAAATTGAGAAGGAAAAGAAGGTGGATCTTTGGAAAGAGCAGTTTTTCGAAAGCTACTATGGTGAACAGTAAGTCAGCCCCCCCACATTTTATATATACAGAAAGGAAAATCAGACTAAGTCTAAGAGGCCATTTACACAACAATGCTTTCAGCCAAAAATGGGAAACTTTCATTCACACGACAACATCATTTTTGGAACTGAAAATGCATACATTTGAAAAGAGGATTTAAAGGGGAAGTTTTTGAAATGTCAGCATTGTCATGTCCATGTAAACATCTGAAAACAAAAGTATTTTAAAAGGATGATGACTTGTGCCTAGTACTTGTTTAGGTGAGTAGTTTAAAGGAACAAACACACAACCAAGGCCCAGTACATGGTGGTGTTGTTGCTGAAGTGTTTACTAAAGTTTCATTAACAAAGTGTAAGTTAACTTCGCATCACAACTAAATGTGGAGACACACTTAAACACACATGGCAAATTATTCATAGACATAGACACGGCGCATCCTCCCTTCTCCACTGGTACTGTTTACTGACAAGGTAACATTGTCAATACTAGCCTGGCATATGTAAAACAGCGTTTTTGTTCATTCTTGAGATTATGTATATCGCTGATCACTTTGAAGACACTGGGCTCTATTTTAACGATCTTACTCATGATATTAATAATAATAATTTTATTCAAATGCAAATTGTCATGAATAAACGGAAAAAAGCCCCTTGAGGTAAAGTAGGCATTGAGTTAATGGTTTTTATATTTATTTAGAAAATAATATTTTTGTAACAGTTTAATCCTTTAATTTGTTCAATTCGTGAAGATATTTGTGTATTGCTGTACATCCTGTGTGTATTAAGCAATGTGTAATTTTTTGGACACGCATAGGGGCATAACTAACACGTTTTGCGCTGGACTTTAGACCAGGTTTTATTTGGTCAATGGTGCCGACTACTTTAGTGCCTCAAAATAGCATGGGGGCAATTATGAGCTTTAACATACCTCTTTTGCAGACCAGCACACCAATGAGTCCACAAAGTGGCACAAATGGATTTGCTATTTTAACTACAATGTGCAAAACGTGAAAATTACAGTTGCGCTAGTCTGTCAGAATCCTGTTAAACACATCTTGTATTATTATTGCGCCGGGTGTAAATTATTTACATAATTTACATTATAATTATGTAAACGTACCTTAAATGTACTTTTCTGCTATTAAAGAGCGAATGTCCACCAAAGTTTAGCTCCAGGTCATCTGCTTGAACTTTCAGTGACGCTGCTTTGGGGAATACCTTGCTTTAATGGGGTCCACATCATGTAGACAGTATGTGTTCTCATGTGGAGCAGAGATTGCACTTTCTATAAAAACTAAGAGTTTATAGGGTTCAGCATAAACCAGGCTACCAGGCTGTAATTGAAAGCATAATACACTGTGGTTATACTGTGTGGTTTGGAAACATTGCAGTTCAATCTGAAGCCAAACTTGTATGTCTGCTAAAGACAAGCTTTGGGAATTATTGTGAGTAGGGAATACTGAATTCTGGAATCAATTCATGAGCAGTCAGTTCTTAAGGAAGCTACTTAAATTGTATCCGACCTCTCACGTAGCTTTTCCGCTGAGTGCGCGTTGGTGCCTTCTGGTAGTGTGTCTGTGTGCAGATACAATTGGTTTAAGAAATCTTTTTTTACCTATGTCAGTTAGATGTAATGTAACCCTTCTATTTTATTCTCTTTATTTTTATTTACAGTTTGATTGGTGTTCGTAAAGAATTGTTTTTTAGTTTATTTAAAAAAGAAGGTAGCCTCTTAATTTGTTGTTGATATCTTGCAACTCGTTATTTGTGGATCTGTCACACTCAAAAGCATTAAACAAAAACCCCTGAATCAGTTTTGTGCTTTATCTTGTCATCCAGCCAATGGGAAGCTTGAACATTAATGGAAAATAAGTGATGTTTTGTTTTTGAAATCCAATTCTAATTTCCTGTCTTCTCCTACTATTTAGTTCTGGCTTGTGTATAGAGGAATCCAAGGAGTTGACAGAGGCTAAAGAACTTCCTGAACCAGCTAAGAAAGCAGTTGTACCAGTAAAGCCAGAGATTGTCATTGAGCCTCGGAAGGTAAATCCGGTTATAGAGGTCATTCACATGGAGCTGAGATCCAGAGATGTGAAATCAACTGTAATGCATACCTCTCCTGAAGAGCCTGTCAAACTTCCTGCCTCTGAGAAATCACGTTTATCCTTAGACACGAAAAAGGATGTACTGGTGGAATTGATTCCAGTGTCTTCTACACAGAAAATGGTGGATCCCAAACCAGACAGTGAGAAAACACTGGAGAGTGAGATCAGATGTAAGACCCCAACATCTCCTTTGGAAGCAATGGTAACTTGCTTGAAAAGAAAAGAGACACATAGCACAAAAGAGGAAAGTCCTGTTAGTGGGGCTGGACAGGCATTAACGGAAAGGAATAAGGGTGGATCTACAGCAACTGCTGTCACGTCTGAACCTCTGAAAAGAAAAATCTCTAGTGAACAAGATGCAGAAGTCATAACAGAGAAGAAACCCCGCAGCTCTTCACCAGAAGAGTCACCAACAGTGACAGCTAAGGAAAAATTAGAACAGAGAGTACCTCCTCTCAAAGTAAGTTTTAGGTTTATCCCTCTAAACAAACCTTTCACCTTAAATATTATACTGCATGGCATTACACTATGTTTACAGCAGCAAGCATGATAGCAATTAAGGGTGCACCTTGTATACCAAGGTGCAACATAAGTGTAACATACTATTAATACTTTAAACACAAAGGACAAATGCATAAAATGTACACAGGATTAAGCTCTTGAAAGTAGTCATTGACATGGTGTTACTAATATTACATGAATACTGTCTGACACTATGTGAGTACTCTAGCAACCACCAAGGAATTCCCTAGCCACTGTTAACAACACTCAACTACCTTATGCTTTTTCCTTAAATTGAATGATACCTGGTAGATCACAAAGTAACATTCCCTCTTTCTTTACAGATCCCAGTCTCAAGAATACTCTCTGCCCCTGCTTCTATTGAGCAGATATCTCCAAGGACTCCTGTTCCCTTGACCCCTCCTAGCGTCCGACCGGGACGTACAGGGGCACGCACTCTTGCTGACATCAAGGCAAAAGCCCAGTTAGCACGCGCACAGCGTGCTGCCGCAGCAGCAGCCAGATCATCTTCCTCAAAGGGAACTGGCTCAGTTGGAGGTACCTCAACACCCTCTCCAGCTCGGTCCCTTTCAGAAGATTTTTCACCAGCAAGCAGCAAAAGTCAATCTGTGTCACCTATAAAGTTAAGCTCGGGATCTCCTGCCCCTGAAGGCACAGTGACTCTCTCACAAACCTTTCCTTCCTCAGGTTCTGCAGGATACACCGACCCTGTTTTTGCGCAGGCCTTCAGTGCGAGCCAGGGTTTTTTAAAAGAAAATCGCTCTTCGTTTGGGTTGCAAACCACTCAGTGCTCATTGAACCCAATAGGCAAGGATCAGCATTACCTTCTTTGTCCTGAAGGCACATTAGCACCTTCAGGTCAAGCAGGAAACGTGACTGTCTCAAACACAATTGCACAAAGCCAGAGACCACAGCAGACTCTTTTTGCAGGAGCATCAGCTGCCAAGCTTATCTCTTCAATCCCAGAAAATAATCCTCTGGTCACCCAGCTTCTTCAAGGTAAAGAGGTTCCCTTAGAAAAAATTCTCCCAAAGCCACTAACCAATGCTGAGGTTCAATCTGTGGCAATTTCTGCCAGGGATAAAGGGAACCTTGACACCACTACTGCTGGGTGGAAAAAAGATAGCCCAACTATTCAAGAAGTCAGCAAATTTGTGAACCAAGTTCCTTTCGACCAACCTGCGAAGCAAGTCAGTAGTAGGGACAAATTTGTCAAAGTCGGCACTCAGGACAGGATCCTCCAACCACTAAGGGAGCAGAAGCACACCAGCTCAAACCGTCAATCTTCCCAGTTTCATTCCTGCCATTTAGGTCACCCTGAGAGTAGCCAGGACCAGAGTGTCCATCTCGGAATCTTTGGACGGAAAAGAATATCGAAGCCAGCTATGACAGGACATTACCTCCTCAATGTCTCCACATATGGTAGAGGATCTGAGAGCAGCAAACGGCCACATCAGGCTAGTAATACAAGCACTACCCTAGCCAACCTGAAAAAAGAGAAAATTGAAGCAGAGGATAGTGTGAAAGGGACGACGGAATCACTTGCCGGTACCACTTCTCAAGGACACGCACCTTTCCCAAGTGTCAAAGTGGAACAGCAGGGATGTTTCATCAGCAAACCAGATGATGGTTTGGCACCTCAACCATGTACTGATGTAAAGTCTGAATCTCCATCGCTGAGCTGTTTGTCCAGCAAAGAAGAAGGCAGCTCTTCAACTAGAACCAAAGAAACATGCTCAAAAGGGCAGCTTGATATGTGCAGCACTATACAGGGTAAAACAGAGCCATATCAATTAAGTGACTGTCACCAACGCATGTTCTTGCCTCAGAAAGCCCATAATGGAACTCAGTATGGTGGCAGTATAAGCATGTCTGTCCCTCATGCACTGAACCACAGCATGCCTGACACTCCGTCCTGCAGTGGCGATGGTGAAACGGCTGGTGGAGGTATGATGTCTTTTTCTGTCACGGTCACCACCATACCTGCCGGCCACCTACTGGATCAGAGCAGTCAGAGGGAGACCTCACCTGAGGAAGCCTTCATAGAAACCTCTGGAATGGAGGATGTCCAGTCAAAGTGCTACTGTCGACTGAAGGCCATGATTATGTGCAAGGGATGTGGTGCATTCTGTCATGATGATTGCATTGGTCCATCCAAACTATGTGTCTCGTGTTTGGTGGTACGATAATGGTCATGTGGACAAACTGTGACATTCATTGATTCATAAAGAAAAGAGCAGTCATACAATCAAACAATAATTTTACCACTGTACAGTAGTGGTGCTCTTGCTGTGGTAACATTCTCATGCATCCGTTGTTATTTGAGAGGCAGGCTCTTATGCTGTTCTTTGGGAGTAATTCACTCACAGTGAATTGTGCCCACTAATAGTGCTGTTTATTTGCACTTAAATTCTGCTTTTTAGCGGCCAATTCAGGAAAGGAATTATCAAGTCAGGTAAAGGCCAGCAACAAGTGCTGTTCTTGCACGTCAATCCCAAGCACTAAGGGCCAAATTTACTAAATAGAGCAAATTATCGCGAAAGTACAATCACATAAAAGTGTAGATCCCACGAAAGGGATGTAAATTAATAAATTATTATAATAATTTACGCACAAACACAATAAGTGAAGTTTAATAAACTAATTTCGAGAGGAGCATGTAATATGATTGCGCACGGCCAGCTGCTCATCTGTAATAAGTAATAATCCAATCAGAGTGATCCAAGCTTACAATAAATAGATCTTTTTTTTCCTACTGCTCTATCTTCATTTTGGAAGAATCCCCCCTTCCACCCCATCTCCTCCTTTTCCTCTCTTTTCTAAGGGGAGCTCTCGAGAACTACCGGATCTCAGATCGCCTTATATGCTTATTGACCGGGTGGAAGCCTTGGGCTCAATTATCTCCTAGCTCAGGGTTCTCTCCCAGGACAGCATGCCAAACCTGCTATTAATGGCATGCATATCTAAGTGGGAACTCTTGAAACAAGAATGAGTAATCTACTAACAACCCAGGGTTAATAGGTCAAGAACACATGCTTTTCTGGATAAATAATGGCACAAATACCATTAAACTGAATACCAATAGCAAATGGCAATTTATCATTCATTTGACTACTACTCTCCCACAAATTCGACATCTGAAATGTAATTTTCAAACGCATATGCTTAAGGTTAGTCGTAAAATAATCATCCCTGTCTCAATTATTCACTATTTCTTAGCTTCGGTACTTTGTAAATCATGATTTTTTTTTTGTTTCTTATTTAATGCAGAAGGCTGTTAGTAAATTCTGGCCCTTAGTTGTGTTGAATATGAAAACTACCGTAATCTGGGATGTTTACTGTTCAGTATGGCTGCACTACTGCAATCCAGACACCCGAAACAGTTCTGTAAATTGCTGAAAGTGATCTGGACCACACTGTATGCCTGCATATATGCCCGGTTATCATCTATTATGTACAATTTCAACACTCCTGACTTGGGCCGTGTTTACAGTAATGGGTTTTTACAATTGAAACGTATTGGTTCTGTTACGTTTCCACCTGACATCCACATTACTCCGGCATCTTCAACCTGTCAAAACAAAGCATTTTGATAATGCTAAAAACTATGGTGGCCAAGAGAGCCTAACGTGCTGCAATTTAAGAAAACACGTGCAATTACAAAAAACGCCAGCAATTTAAGAAAAGATCATTCGTTTGACAGCACACATTCTGCAAATCCTCACAACGCAAACACATTTTTAAAATACTAGCTGCATTTTCTTACAATACAAACTTTATGTAAACGTGCTGCATTTTCTCACAACTTTCAAATAGCTCAGAACACAATGGAAATGTTTCAAGGGGACCGTAAAACATCTCAGACCCAGATATTTAGGTTATGGTTATTTTGGATAATGAAATGCAAATCACAAGGGAATCAGGATATTAAAATAAACTAACAAAAACACCTTTTGAAGATCACCTACAACTTCACTGTGCAATCGTCATGGCACATTGACGTTCGTCACGATTTTGGGTCCTCTTAAAACATTTCCATTGTGCGGCACATTTGCAGTACGTGTGCTGTCAAATGGATGAAAATCTTTTCTTAATTTGCTGGTGTTTTTTGTAATTGCACATTTTCGAGATTTACCAGTTTTAAACGCTGTAATCAGAAGTTCTAAACATACTACCGGAAGGTGTTGCTTGCTATGGCGCTCTCCATGCAGCAACAAAGAACAAGGTATATAATATAATATGTAATTTGAAAACTAAAACGCATGGTGTAAACAGCCTTAAGTGGATCAGGGGTGGTTAGTGAATAAGTCGCAGGTTTCTGCGCTCAAAATGCAGTGCGCAAAAGTGGTGCAGCTAAATTTGCAGAATTCCCTGTTTTTATTTTAAGGCACAAACACAATTAGCATAGTAGAAAATGAGGTATGTAAACTGTGCAATGCCGAGTAATACTTCCTATCATTCATTAAGGCACCTTGTTTCAGACTCAATATTGAATAGTGGCAATATTTATGGTTTATTCCTGTCCGTGTTATATTTTCATAACAATTTTAGAAATTATACCAACTATTTTTGTAGATGTTAAAAAATAATGGTTCCCCCTTCCCTCTCATCTGTCAGATTTTGGACATATAATTCCTCCCGGTTTGCTGGATTAGAGACAGATACTTTTTTTGGTCTTTGCTTGCTGGTTTGTAATGCAAGCAATGAACCACATGACTAAAATACCAGTTTCTTTGCAGAATTACTGTGAATTTGTAAACCTAATATATTAACTGGCCTTGTTACTAGGTTTATATGGTACTGTTAAGGGTTATTTATGGGATAGAAGGGATTTTAGTCAAATTGAGTAACTTTCTTCTCTTATATGGGTGGGTTTTACTTGAGAGAATGACAGATTTATATTGATGATGGCAATAATTTGTATATTTACAGTACAATATTTATAAAATGAAGAGCATTAGTCCCTTACATGTCATTTTTTTTCTTGTCTAAATAAAAAGATTTATTAGGATTGCACTTTTTTATGTTCAATGACAAACTTGGCATCTTTAAAAGTTATATATTTGTAAGGTTAATGAGAATGAAAGCACTTAATCAATGAATAATCTGTTGAACCCTCTCAGGAGCAAAACCAGGTCTTAATCATTTCAGTTGCCCGTGTCTAATCATTTACACGAGTGACATTGCCTCCAATTGGAATATTCGGATATTCCCTAGTTAACGAATGAAGAGCATCAACAGCAAAACTATATGAGCAATGAAGTTGAACACTCATAAGGGAGATTATATGAAGATTTTCGGTTTGTTTTATATTGTAAATACTGATTTTCTTTTGAGATGTACAAAACAGTTTCTACAAAACATTCTTGTATCTTGCCTAAACATATCCGATTGTCTACTAAGGGGTTTTTATTTAACAACTGCAGTCACAAATCACAATTTGAATCATGTTTCAACGTTTAAAATTCCTGTCCTGAAACAATTCTTCTACATTTTGATACCAGTTGTTATGTGTATGTCTTTCAATTAGTTCCTTTAATCATTCGCCTTGAAGGCAGTAGAAATGTAAACAAATTTTTAGATTCGATATGCTTGGTAATATACCAAAGTCATTTTACGGGAAGTAGATAATCAGATTTTGTTTTTAATGTCTGTAGTTAGGCAAAGTAATATATTTTAAGTAATATATTTTAATAATAATTAAAGAAGTCTATTTACAAATCAAAACGTTTAAAGAAACAGGGTATTTGCTATGTCTTTATATTGGCTGTCCCGTTTTGGTATACCTTCATCCCAGGTGTTCAAACTTTTTACACATTTTTTAGAACCCTTTTTTTTGTTTGGCTAGTTTGCAAAGAATCGATGTACCCTCATGGTAGATTTTGACTAATAATATCTGTGAGCTCATTGACTGCTAAACGTCTAGCTTCTTACTGAAAAACTGAAAAACAATCAGGTTTTAGTGTTTGTCTTGTGTGGATACCGTTAGCGTGGTGGTTGGGTTGTGCTGAATGTCGTTGGGTGTAAGGTCGGTTTTTCTGGTTTTTCATATAGACATATGCATCTTTAAACGTTCAAGAGACTCCACGAATATAACTGTGATACCTCTATTATACTTCATATCGATATGATCGATATGATCGTAAAAATAATAGTTGGGTTAAATCGTAAACAAGCAGCGTTTAACGTTAGCAGCGTTAGTGATTATGAGTTATTTACTGCTGACTTTTTTCTTGGATAGAATGGCGACGCATGACTTTCCACAGCCTCTATCCTCAACCATTTATGCCTGTGACGTTTTAACAAACCGCTTGGATTTTTAATGAACGAGTCTAATGTTTTCCCCTGCAGTGATGCGACTCCAGGACTTCCACAATGTGTGTCATGTTGTTTTTAAAAGTCAAATATTTTATGTAAAAAAAAGTTGAATGTAATATAGTAATTGTAATCAGCACTTGTGTGCAAAGTGTATTTTATCAAGAAACAGTATGATTAAATGCAGTAAAAAATGCAGGCTTTTGTTGTTATTCAGTGTTTTTTATCCAATTATTTATACAATACAGTGCTCTGCATTGAGTACAGCCCCTTTTGAAAATGAATATTGGTATCAATTTCTCAGTGAAAATAAGCAATATATTTTGGTGCATTTAAACAAAAATAATTCATTTAAGCGATACATTTATTAAAATAATAAAATAGTCACAGAACATATTTAGAAATTGAAAGATAATACAATTAAATTCAAGCAAAATGTAGGAACAAAAATTTAAAGCTACAAAATTTCAACAAAATTTTTCTATTTTTTTGCTTCTTTTTATTTTTCCTCTTTTTAAAATATGTATTTAATATTTTTCTATAACAAATAAATTTGGGTGTTACTAGTTTTTGAACCATTATCGTAAGTTATTTTGTTAGATAAGCTCCAGATTTGGCTTCAGTACTAATTTAAAGTAAATGCATAATTAAAAACATGAATTTAAAAGCTAGATTTGTGAGGGGTGTTCTTACAGTAAATATGCTGATTACTGTATATTGTAGGTTTCATGGGTCATGCTGCTTAAATATTCACAATACACTTCAGCCTGTCTTACCTGTAGTATATATTTAAAACACATTTAATTAGACCTCATGTCTGTTTTGACTCGGTAGAGATGATGCATATTTGCAATCCTAGTAGAGCAATAACATTTGCAAATGCTTTAGGATGCTGAAGAACACACTTACTTTTTTATTTATATTTATATAGTTTTTTGTTTGTTTGACCTATCTTTATATTTAAAATTTTTTATAGTCATTTAAAGTTTTTGATTAGAAATCATAGATCATATATAAATACAAATACAGTTGCAACCAGAATTATTAGCTCCCGTTTATTTCTTTCCTCAATTTCTGTTTAACAAAGACAATATTTTAAAACACATTTCTAAACATAATAGTTTTAATAACTCATTTATAATAACTGATTTATTTTGTCTTTGCCATGATGACAGTAAATAATATTCCACTAGAAATTTTCAAGATACTTCTATTCAGCTTAAAGTGACATTTTAAAGGGATATCTAGGTTAATTACGTTATATATATATATATATATATATATATATATATATATATATATATATATATATATATATATATATATATAGCTTTAAAGGGGCTAATACTTTTGACCTTAAAATGGCTTTTAAAAATTAAAAACTGCTTTTATTCTAGCCGAAATAAAACAAATAAGACTTTCTCTAGAAGAAAAAATATCAAACATACTGTGAAAATTTCCTTGCTCTGTTAAACAACATTTTGGAAATTCAAAGGTGGTTTAATAATTCTGATTGCAACTGTATCTACAAATCATATATAAATTATATAGTTATAATTTACATTTTATATACATTTTCTAGAATATGTTAATATAGTTATTTTCATGTCAATTTATTTCTAAAATATGCGTATATATCTCTCCATATCTAACATACTTTCAGGACAGAAATTTGTTAACATGAACATGTTTGTCTGCTGAAAAAATATTGCATTGCATGAAAAAAATGGGAATTTTTGCAATCAAATTATTTATAACAGTTTTCACTGTTTTAAAATAGTACATAAATGTATAATTTATATATAAATAGAGGTTATAGAGTGGCTTTGGTTTCATATAAATATTAAATACAGTTATATGTAAAATGTTAAATTCATGTATCGATTTATAATAAAATGTTATTATAATATGTATAATATAATATTCTTAATATTTTAATAATATTTTATTATGTATGTTATATAAATATCAGTACTATTTTAATAATTTTAATAACATGTTATTAGAATATTTATATATTTATTATATTATTATTAAAATACTATTCATATTTTAATGATATTTCAATACTTTAAATAAAATATTAAGTTAACTGTTTTTATCAAATACGTTTGCATACAATCAGTGCGTCTGTAAGAGACTTTTATTCTGTTCAGTTTAACTTAAGCTCTTCATATATATGAAGACACATCTTTATGTGCCCTTAGCCACAATATTCACTCATAGGCTACAGTATGAGCATTAACTCACCCTATTTGAGCCATCATTTGTGACACAAAATCTAACTCTTGCCCCGCTGCCTAATAATGGTGATGATGATGATGATCAGCGTGCAGTGATGCAGGATGGAGCCTCTGCTGTCCTCTGCTGTCAGTGATGCTCAGAGCCTCCACTGCAGTTCCACAACACGAGCGCGAACCACAGCACAACAATCTGACGATGGCGGAGCGCAGCGCGAGCAAACTGCGGATTACCGAGTCGAAATTTGCCGGTGTGTATTGAAAAAGTGAACTATGATAATGATGATGATGGTGATGATGATGATGATGCTCCAGGAATCGAGCGCGAGACCGATGATCGCTCTCATCAGATGCTGATGATGGTCGCGCGACCTGCGTGATTTCCTCCTGCTGGTAAGATCATCCCATAATAAAGATTTTCACATTCAAACTCAACGCACACCGCTGCCTAAGATTGGCCCCTCAAAATATGGACTTAACTGTGTTTATGCGCCGTGTAACAGTGTATTTATTTAACGTTAAAGCGGCAGTTGGCTTATATGATGATAATATGGCCGTGTGTATTAATGTTTGATGTTGTCATTTTAACACGTCGGTTATGTTTGTTAAATCTACGCGAGAAATTCCGCACGTTGATTCACGTCAAAGCGCGAGTCATTATATAGAGGTGCGGTGTGTTACTTGTCTTATTAAACAGGCCTTATGTTCCCTCAGTAGTAGCACCGCAAGATGCGATTAGACTAGCAAAACGAACCGAGCGATTTTGAAGCCAGAAGTCATAACGTCAGCAGTGTCTTTAACGGGCAGGAATGACATAATGCTTTCTAGTGGTGTTTGGTTTGTGAACGAGTCGGTGCCTTCGAGCGAGTCTTTTTCAGTGAGTGAATCTTTCCCCACTTTCACACACGGAATTAGCCCATATTGTTTGGTTCATTGGAGTGTCTTTCGCTGCTTTATCGTCATTATTTGACTGAGAGTAAACTAATGCGTTAGTGTGTGGAAGATAGTTAATTAGTGGACACGTTTATTTCAATAAATCGCTGGCTAAATTCAGTATAGCTACTAGTACAGCTAGTTCTGTCATATCAACGAATGAAAGAGTCAAACATGGCCGACATATGAGATTAACCCTTATGCACTGTAGGGGATGATTTCATCCACTCTGGGGTAATTTTGAGTATTAATGTGGCCATAAAGTTTTCTGTGTTTCAGCTAGCAGAATGAATCTTATTTTGACACATATTTTGAGAAAATGCTTTAAATAAAAAAAAAAACTTAAAAATACACTTTCTGCAAATTTACTACGCTTTTGTTATGTACGTGAAGAAATCATCCACAGAATTAAACTGCTGTAAAAATACATCAGATAATTTTTTTTATTTTATATTTAAAATATATTTCAAATATTTCTTTTAATCAACCTCAGTCCTGATCAAAACTACTAAATTGCTTAGAAAGTCCTGTCGATTTTATCTCTCTTTAACTGCCAAATTCACAAATGCTGTCACTGATTTAATGAAAAAACACAAAATGACGTATGTTTCAATTTAATAAGTAGTTGTGGACTGGATTGTTTTTACCTTTTATCAGTCTTATACTTGTGAAACAGCATTGCCTTTCATGCATTGATTTTGATTAATTGTCTTTTTTTTCTCCCTGATTTACTGTTGGTGGCAGTTTTTGCCCCATTGACTTCCATTACAACCACTATTTTTGATTACAAAGCCATGACACCATATAATCATGCATTTTGATTGTTGGGGGTTTTCCCTGTTGGGGAGTGGTAAAACTTGTAATGTTTACTGTTGATCATCAGTTGGCACCATTAATCCTTCAGATAGGCCTGTGCAATAAAAAGCTTAGTTTCTGGAGTTTATATGGAGTATAACAGCAAATTAAAGTGTGTGTATGTGTGTCTGCGAGTGTGAGAGTGACTTTTACGCACTTACCTTGATGTGTCTGAGAAAATCTAAATATGCATCCAAGTTTGCAAACAATACAAAAGCAGCCTGTCTTCTGGTCGCACACAAAGTCTGAATGCACTCACTCATTTTCTCTCATTCAAGCAGACTGTATCAGTGGACTAATGTAGGAAATAGTCAACTAGAGGGTGATTTCCTGCACATCTTAAGATCCAACTAGTCACTATCTACTGGCAAATCAATGTAACCTGCAGAGAGGATCAATAAATCAGCGAACATTTACTTCTTTAAAAGACTGAAGTCTCTAAGATTTATTTTTATCTCTACGACTAGTTTGTAAGTAGTGAGTAAATGTGAGCTGACGGCTGGTGTAGTGCTTTATGGTGATGATGTAAGACCTAAATTACACAAGAGCCGTGCACATTCCTTACACTTACATCCTTGTGTATATCCTTCTGTAAAGTCATTAATATCTGAACTTTTCCTCTGTGATGTTCTCTCTGCCTGTCACTATTAAGTGGCTTCATAGTGGCTCTTGTTTCATTAGCTCGCAGGACGCAGCCTGTGCAGACACTATTGTCATACTTAATCAGCACTTGTGTAGAGAAGGAGAACTCAGATGCCCTTTTGTGAAGAGGGATTTATTCTACGCTTTGTTTTTGTATTTGTGTTTGGCTCGGATTGGGGGGTGGTAAGGGAGGGAATTTCCCGAGATGTCAACATCACAATGTTTTTGCTTACTTATAGGAGCATCCTGGTTCCTTTTCATCACCGTATCGAAGTCTCAGCCAACCTGACAGGTGAGTGATCGAGAGTTCAGAGATTCCTGGGGACAATTAAACTATTAAAGTGTCGTATTGTCCTTTTAAGTTAACTGTTTAATTAATCATTGTAAAAGAAACATTCAAGCAGACTAGAGTTGCAGAGGTATGATTATTGCTACATTTAGTAATTAGAAATGACCAACATTTTCACGAACATCATTATTATCATGGTTTTGTTAAAATTAGTTGAAAATGTTCAAAAATAATCGTCACAGATAAATATGGAGCCAGATCAGTCTCAAAAATAATACATTTATAAAATAAAATTCATACACAGATCACATTTACTAAATTTAATTAGTAAATTCAAGACACAATTCATAAACACACAATCCAATTAGTAAATTCAAAATAATTTAATAAGGGTGGCATGGTGGCACAGTGGGTAGCGCTGTCGCCTCCCTGCAAGAAGGTTGCTGGTTCGAGTCCCAGCTGGGTCAGTTGGCATTTTTGTGTGGAGTTTGCATGTTCTCCCTGTGTTGGGGTGGGTTTCCTCCGGGTGCTCCCGTTTCCCCTACAAGTCCAAAGAGGAATTGGTGAATTGGGTAAGCTAAATATTCCATAGTGTATGTGTGTATGTCCTGGTCCTCCAGGTTGGGGGTTGAGCGTTGGACTAACGACCCACCTCGTAAAAATTAGATGTTACAAAACACCAACATGGTGGGGCTAAATATCAACTTCGATATAAATGGCCTTGGCAGTACGTTAGTAAGTAAAATAATTCATAAATACACAAAGCACGATTTGTAAATTTAAAACACAATTCATAAATACACAAATATAATTCATAAATTCAAAGCAAAGTTCATACATAAACAAAACACAATTCGAAAATGCAAAACAAGTCATTAATACACAAATCCAATTCGTAAATTCAAAATGTAATTCACGAATATGCAAATCCAATTTGTAAATCCAAAACACAATTTACCAATATGCAAATCCAGTTTGTGATTTCAAAACACAATGCGTGAATATAAAACACAATTTGTAAATTCAAAACACAATTCTTAAATGTACACATCCCGTTCCCTTGGGGAAACATTTATAAAATTTTCACATGTTGTGTTTTGAATTTATGAATTGGATTTTCTGAATGTGAATGGTTGTGTATGCATGAGTTTTATTTTTGCAGATGTATTACTTTTGAGACTGATCTGGCTTCAAAGTTAATGCATTCCACCAAGTTTTGTAACTGGGATGAGTTTTGACATAATTTAAGTGCTTTTACTGTGTATATTTATTATGTACAGTTGCAATCAGAATTATTAGCCCCCCTTTGAATTTATTTTTCTTTTTAAAATATTTTCCAAATGATGTGGTAAATCCAAATCCAAATGATAAGGTAAATCCTATAACATTACGATTATTTAATCGCTAGAGTACTGTAAATGCATGTTTATATAGTATAGACATTATACAGTTTTATTTTTATTAGCTAATCGAAATGTTATAGGATTTACCATAATTTCTCAAAATAACAATAATCGATCTCGGTTTTTATGATAATAAAAAATTTTGGTAAATCCTATAACATTGCGATTAGCTAATCGCTAAAGGCTGCTATGTGAATGCATGTTTATATAGACAGTGAACAGTTGAAAATTTGACATGGTTCTCGCAGAGATTGAGACAGAGATCGAGATTGTTATGTTGCGATTGCAATTTCTTTATCGATTTACCGACAAATATTCAAATAGCAGTTTAGTTTTTACCGTGAGTTTTGCCTTATTCTGTCTTCTGTGCTATTAAATGGACGTTTTGTATTGTGTAGAATGATTGAAGAGGGAAGTAAAAGCAGCAAGTCTATGGTGGAGAAGAGACAGCTCTTCATGGAGATGAGTGAGTTGCTTTCACACACTACACACACACACACACACACACACACACACACACACACACACACACACACACACGCACACACACACACACACACACACACACACACACAGAGGCTTTGTCGAATCCTATTCGCCCTTCAGTGCCACAGGGCAGTAGACTGGGACAAACTAGTGTCTCTGTTCGGAAGGCAAAACTAATTTTGAGAAAACCCCATATCAGGTCCCAGTAAATCTGTCCTCTGTGTCTGATTTGTACTTTATAGCGAGTACAAATGTTACATAGCTGTTGAATTTTTTTTTCCATGCCATTACGCACTTTTAAAAAAATTGTCTATTGAAAAACACTACATCAATGAATTCCTGAAGTGTGTATCCAACACACACTTTACTATATTATAAGGCCATAGAGGATGCAATACAACTGGTCATGTGATTATCTTTTTTTAACAGTTTGGAAATACATTCAAATTCAATAACTTACTTGAGTAGTTTGCAATTTCACACTCAGCTTCTGAGTAAAATACATGGCTGCTTACCTTTATGTTTTGATGTCATCACTGGGAAATGACCTCATTTGACCTCACTTACTTTAATGATTTGCATGAAAATGTTTAAAACAGGATACTGTATTTAAAGGTCCCGTGAAGTGCTTTGAAATCTGCTCTTTTGTTTCATGTGTGTCATAATTTCAAGGGTGGGACAAGAGAAGCTTTTTTCCTTTAGCCAATATCAGTTTCCCTTCTTCCCAAAAACAGCCAATAGCATTGCGTTTCATCACAGCTCTGCCAGTGAGAGTAGTTTAGCTTAAGTGCATCAAATGAAAAGCAAATGAGAGGTAGGGATGCAACGATTACAGATTCTGGTTGTACGTTTATAGTCTAAGGGATAATCATGGTTATCACGATTATTATGCACTCATTCATTTCAAAACACTAGTTTAGAAAATCCCATGAAAACTTAAAGTTTTTTTTTTAAGTGCTATTTATTGCTGCTCTGTAAACTATTTATACAGCACAACAAAAACAAACAATATAAAAAATGAAAACAATGAAATAGTTTTTACATTTAAACGTAATTAATAATTTTACAGTGAAAATAAAAATGACAGAACAATGAATAAATAAATAAGTAAATAAATAAATAAAAATAAGAGAACACATGCAGTCAAAGGCCGCTAAACTTCGGTCTGAAAGGCACTATTGATCAACTATATTATGAACTTCTTTGGTATTTTTCTTTTGTATTGTGTTTTTTTTTTAGAAATGTCTATATTTCATACAAAGTTTGAAGCTGATTGGTCAATTCTTGTCACATGACTTGCAATATCAATATGCGTGCACCTCCATTAAAAAAAATAATGAACTTGTGAAACCCCGTCGGTCTTACGCCACCCAACCCGCCCCAAGCTGGTATCAAACTGGCGACCCTCCGCATGGGAGTCGGTTGCTCTACCAAGGAGGCTAAAGACCATGGCCTCTAGCGTCTGTCGCTAGAGCACCTTTTAGAGGTCAGAGGAGTGAGGTTTACCTGCACAGCACACACTAGCTGGCCTCCGTTACACTTGCGCCTGCAAAACACAGGATTTGTAAACGGCCCTTATTAGTCTCAGCCAAAGTTAAAATCTTTAATCCAGTATGTATACATACTGGTATACCGTGGCCAAGTCAAGGTTTTAAAACTGGCAACATTTTCTGCTATACCGTTCTTATGGTATATGCAAGCTTTTTTATTAACTTTTTTTTTTTTTTTTTAAGTTTTTGAGGACAACAGTATCTCCAGCAGAAAAGAAATCTAAAGAAGCCGTTTTAAATTGTAAAGAAATCAGTGTTTTTAAAACTAATGAAGATTAGTTGAAGATGATTCATTTGAATTATTTAGTCTGACATGTTTACTGTTCCAAAATATTTTAAATAGTTCTCAAAATAAGATCGATTGTGTTCACAGGAGGAAAAGGTTTAGTTTTTTACCCAGACATTTAAAAAGAACATGTTTTAGAGCAGTAATCACAACACCGTCAAACCATGAAATCATGATATTTTTATTCAAGGTTATCATACTGTCAGAATCTTATACTGACCCATGCCTACCACATATTGTGTACAAGCTCGGAACTTTATACTAGTGGCACACATTTGGCATAGCTTTGTTTAGTTGCAGTTTTGTTCCACGCAGAAACGTGGTGTTGAGAAGCCTTTACGATTAATTAACCGTGACGAATTAAAGCGTGGTTAACAGTGAAATCCGTTACTCGTTGCATCCCTGGTGTCTTGAAGGTGCAGGACAACTCAGATACTAAAAAGCATTTGATTGGTCAAAAGAACTGATGAAAAACTGAAGGACGGCAGAAGTGACAAACTTCAAGCTTTGGATGATTATATCTTCTAAATGCAAATTTAATCACTGTTTTGGAGCACACTCATTTGTAGATATCCTTAAGACTTAAACGTATTGATACTAACTTCTTAAACGCTTTATTTTGATTTTACAGGGACTTTAACAGGTAGCTATCACTATACTGGTGCAAAAAGAGCAGCCATGACATTCTTCAAATTGTCTCTTTTTCTATATTATGGAAGAAGAAAGTCTTATATAAAGGAAACAACATAAGAGTGAATAAAATAATGTCAACATTTTAATTTTGTGTGTGAAAGTGACAAATCTGATGCATGTAATTTTACCCAGGGGCTCAAAACTTTGATGTCATTCGCCTTTCAACGTACAGGACAGCATGTAAGCTACGATTTGTCCAGAAACGCTGCAACCGTAAGTTGTCATGTCTTTCATTTGAATGTATCATTGAATCCCCTTGTTTAGCAAGTACATTTGTTCTCGTGTGCTGGGAAAATCAACAAAATACATCCATTGTTTATTCTGGATCAGTGTTTCCCAACCGTGTTCCTGAAGGCACACCAACAGTACACATGTAACATCAAACACACCTGAATCAACTCACCAGAGCTTAAGAAGAAACTCTAAAACCTGAAGTGAATGGGTCAGATAAGGGAGACATCCAAAATCTGTACTGTTGGTGTGTCTTCAGGAACAGAGTTGGGAAACACTGTTTTGGATCATCTCACCTGTTTACTTCTCCTGTCGCAGTTCACCTAGTGGATGTGTGGAACATGATCGAAGCTTTTCGCGACAACGGGTTGAGCACGCTAGACCACAACGCCGAGATTAACGTGTCCCGCCTGGAGACCATTTTGTCCTCAATCTTCTACCAGCTCAACAAGCGGCTGCCCACCACGCACCAGATAAACGTGGAGCAGTCCATCGGCCTGCTGCTAAACTTCATCGTGGCCACTTATGACAGGTGTGTTGTTAGTAAGGGAGATTTGATTTTCTCTCAGGGGGTCCCTTGTGGCAGAATGTCCCTGCAAACCTGATGGACCGTGAGTCATGCAGTGTGCATCGTGACAAGAGTGAGTGTTTGGATGGCATATGCCTCGCTCCAAAGCATAGTGAGCTGCCTATGGAGACTGCATTTTAAGGGATTGTGAGCACACTTTAGCTGTGGTGGGTGTTTCAAAAACTATGCAGTTTAATCATTCTTGTCCACTAAGAAGCTGTACGTTGTTTTGGCTAAATTTTAAAGGCCCATTTATGTCAAGCATGATAATTATATTGATTAAGAAGCTGCTGTAAATATAAAGAATAGTCCACACCACAGATACCATTATAAAGGCACTGAGGAATCATATCACTGGACTCATTTTTTCAGAGTGTTTTTCCTGCCAGCTACCGAATGATAATAAAACTGAGTAAATCAATATGCATCCTACTTTGAAGAGCTCTCACACTTAAAGTGGCAATAATAAACAGAACGATGTTGTGCTTTGGTTTAGCGGTAATATAATTATCATTATAGTTGTAGTTCTTGGTGTGAATGAGCCCTAAAGGAGCAGTCACTATTGTTCAGTGGTTTTGCAGACAAAATCCAGTTATTTCAACAGGAATCCACTAAATCTAAGAGGCCGTTCCCTTGATGCAGACCTAAATTATGAAGTATAAGCATTAGAAGTTAGTTCATATGACTTAATTTGTGGCATAATAAATTCACGATGTGCTTTGGTTTGGCAGTAATGTTATTATCATTATAGTTATCATTATAGTGATCATTTTAAGATCAGTCTTTTACCATTGTTCAGAGATTTGTTTTTGCAGACAAAATCCCATCATTTTGACAAGAATCCAAGAAAAATCTCAATTAAAAAGTATATGCATTTAATGTGGAAAAATAGGGTGTACATTTAGTTACTATGACTTCATTTGTGGCTTAATTAATTCCCAGCTAAAAATTTTAGGTTCTAAAAAGGATCCCATTCATTCATTCATTCAATCATTTTTCTTTGGCTTAGTCCTTTATTTATCAGGGTTCACCAAAGTGGAATGAACCACCAACTATTCCAGCATATGTTTTGCATAGCAAATGCCCTTCCAGCCGCAACCCAGTACTGGGAAACACCCATACACTTTCACACTCATACACTATGGCCAATTGTCATTCATTAATTTTCCTTTGGCTTAGTCTCTTGTTTATCAGCGGTCACCACAGCGGAATGAACCACCAACTACTGGGAAACACCCATACACTCTCATTCACACAAGCACTCATGCACTACGGCCAATTTAGTTTACCCAATTCAATTATACCGACAGGCGACAGTGCTAACAACTGAGCCACCATGCCGCCCCTCCCATTAAGTTCATCCATTCTTTCATTTTCTTTTCGGCTTAGTCCCTTTATTAATCCGGAGTCGCCACAGCAGAATGAAGGAAACCCACACCAACCCTGGGAAGAACATGCAAACTCCACATAGAAATGAAACTGACCCCCAATTAAGTTATATAGTATTATTTTAACATTTAAAATGTTTTTTTGACAATGAATTTAAGTTATTTTTTGGCTTTAAGAATGTTATTAAACATCTTCTGAGTCTCATGTTATATTCGTGTTCTCACATCGTTATTTAAAACGTTATTAGAACATTTCATCCATATTATGTTAATGTTCTTAAGAACTTTTCTCTACCTTCACTCTAAAAGAATAGAGGGTTCCACACAATTCCTTCATATTAACTTAATAGTTTTTTACCAATTTAAGTGGATTGAGCGTAAATCAGTTGCCCCATAAAAACGTAAGAATTGTGTTGATTCAACTCATTTTAAGTACTTTAAGTAGTTTGAACAAGGAACAAAAGCTACGTTTTTGAGTGTTTCTCTGTAAGTTATGAAAATGTTATTGTTGAAGGTTCGTAAAATGTTCAAAATTACCAGTTTTTAGATGATGTATTAACATTTTTTTTTTTGGTTATAATAACATTACTAAAAAATTAATTTTTATTTTTATATCTCATAACAATTCAGTCTCAAGATATATTGAAGTTCTCCAAATGTTGTTTAAAATGCCATTAGAACATTCCATCTACATTATATTAATGTTCTTAGAATGTTTTTCTATCCGCATTACAAGAGTCTTCCGGAAACATTATTATAATAATGTTGCATGCTAGCATTTAGACAACTTTTAAGAAATGCTACTGGATGTTCTCAGAATACTCCATGTTAACATGTATAAAACCTATTTGTTCCTAAATCGTAGCATGTTGTTTTAATTTGTACCTTTGTTAACTTTTAAGTTCATTTAGTTATCTCAAAGAAAAAATTCAATGCTCTAATTCAGATTTGCATCGTTTTGTTGTTTTTAGAGATTCATTTAAAGCATTTGATGATGGCAAAGCTTCTCTAAATATTCAATTAATTCATTTTATGAGGTGCTTTTATTGTGTAATACTGTACACTCAAAGCTTTTTACAATCATATGAGTTTCCACCAGTGTGCAGCTAGCTTTATCTAGCAAGATAAAAGTCTCTTAATAATCTTTATTAGGGTTGACAGCGTTTCATTTTTAAATAAAGATTTTAAATACAAACTTAACTAAACTAACACATAATAAAAGTAAAAGAGAAAGCATAAATAGTAATATTTGTCAATAAATAAATATTATACACATGGACTTAAACTAAATTTTACATGAATTGTTAACTAAATCGTTTGCTAATTTAAATCCACAGAAAAAAGTTAATAAGTTACTTTAATTTTATTTATGTGTTTATTGCACATTTCCCCCCCTAATCTTTTCTTTTCCTGTACTTACTTTAAAAACCCCTGAGCTGTAGGACATTTTACATTGCCTGTTTGTGAAGCTTTGGAATAAAAAAGGCAATGGGGCTTTTAGTCATGTTACACTTCTATAGAAATCAAAAAACAAAAACAGAACGCACTATACCAAAAACCACTAGCTTAATGGAAACCTACCTATACATGTAGTTACAATACTTTCATTTAGTCTACTTACTTCTTAGCACAGGATTTAGGAAATTTACCAGGATTCTTCAAAGCCAGCTTGTAAGTAGGTGTTTGGCTGTGCTGGTGGGATTGTGGCCCTTTTAGCGCTGTCAACAATTTGTAGTCAAACATGTTCTGTTTGCAATCATAATCCAAATAATTGTATGTAAAAGTACAAAGACTTGTATAATCCAGACACTGGCTGGAATTAAAAAGAACCTGTTGACTTTGGATTTTTATAACCAAATGTCTTCTGATAATATGTTGTTTGTGTTTCAGTGAAGGCCATGGGAAACTCACAGTGTTTGCTATGAAGGCAATGCTAGCTACGATGTGTGGTGGTAAAATACTGGATAAATTACGTTGTGAGTATAACGCCATTTATACATATATTCAACAGTGACACAATGGATATTTTCAGGCTGAAAGAGGAATTAAAATGCAATGCTATATCATAGTTTATTAGCATTAGGTGTATTCTCATTTCAGGTTCACTTTAAGGCTAACAGCATAGCTAACATAGCCACATAAAGCTAACATTTTAATCTATTCCTTCCAAACTGTGAATTTAAATCCGTTTTAAAAGACTATGATGCCATAAAAGTGTCATTTGGAGCCATGTAAACAAGGTTTTATCGTACTATAACAAACAAGGGCTTTTATGACAAACGTTTCACTGAGAGTTTGGCTCCCTCTTCTGTACACGATATGCATTACACTTCCCAAAATAATTTATATATTAGCCAAATACTCATTATTAAAGTTATTAAAATACATTTCAACATAAATCTAAAATAACACAAGTTTTCTCTTTTCATTTCGTTCATATTAGTTGTTAAGTTGTGCCACTCCCCAGCAAATGCTGGAAAAATGCACTTGAATGATACTTGAATTTTACATTTATTTTGGTGCATTATTAATAACATGTACAGTGTTGGTTATTTTGAGCAAAGGGGTTAAACTATGAAGACTTCATAGACTAATTGACTGGAGGTCACTGAAAATGTAGCATTGTTTTTGTTCTGAAATATTCTTTCTACAGCATGACATAATTAACTTAAAATCTTTCTCGTTCTCCATCAGATGTATTTTCCCAGATCTCAGACTCCAACGGGGTGATGGTCTTTGCCAAATTTGACCAGTTCCTGAGGGAGGTGTTGAAGCTCCCGACGGCAGTGTTCGAGGGGCCTTCGTTCGGCTACACTGAGCACTCCGTGAGAACATGCTTCCCTCAGCAGGTGAGAACACTAATCTGCTTCTGACCGCAGAAAGAGTCTCTTTAAAACGATCGGCATCTCATTCAACCTGTCTCAGGGACTTAGAGGCTTTCTCTGAAAGTGTCTTATCTGATCTCTGCCAGAAGAAGATCTTGCTGAATACGTTTTTGGATGTGTTGATGGCAGATCCACCCCCGCAGTGCCTCGTATGGCTACCTCTCATGCACCGACTCGCTAATGTAGAGAATGGTACGTGCTGCATTTGTGTGTGTGTGTGTGTGTGTGTGTGTGTGTGTGTGTGTGTGTGTTTAATGTGAAATTAAAGCTCTTTTCATAACTTATAATGGGTGTGAGCAAAAAAAAAAAAATTTTAGGGTGTCTCTTTAAATGCAAATGAGCTGCTGGTTTCTGATGAGGGCGGAGAGTTTACAGACAATCTAAAAACAACAGAACAACCAATTATTAATTACAAATGACACGACTACATTTGTAGTCAATTATATGATCTCATTCATGGTAACCTAATCTGATTACTTTTGGATTACATTTTGATTACTTTTGTGCTGGCCCTTTTTTCATTTAACATATATTGAAGTTAGATAATCTTTTAAATGCTGATGTATTATCATATGAATCAGCTTTTTAGTCACTGGAAGTCAGGGAATTTGATATTTGCTTTAAAGTAGGTGAACCCTAGGTAGGGTAGACTTGATATGTCACCTTTAATATCTTGTTTTTTTCATCACCCTCTGTGTCAGACCACCTCAATCCCAAAATAACTCAGCAAATGCCTGAAAGCGGTGTGTGTGTTTGCATCCCGCAGTCTTCCATCCAGTGGAATGTTCATACTGCCGGAGTGAGAGCATGATGGGTTTTCGGTACCGCTGCCAGCAGTGTCATGGCTACCAGCTTTGTCAGAGCTGCTTTTGGCGCGGTCATGCCAGCGGCCCTCATAGCAACCAGCACCAGATGAAGGAGCACTCATCATGGGTACGTACTGTCATGCAGCACATTCAAATGTACAACAACATATCTCTTTTATTACTACGGTTCTCTGGAATGCTTGATTCTGATTGGTCGATATTCTAAGGGAATGTAATTCTCCAGTAACTAGCACTGAAACTAATAACACACTTTCATGGTGATGCTACAAATAACCTTGACTGTTAGTAAATATTTTCATTGTGCTATTTGCCAATTCGCTCTTGTTTTTTTTTTTTTTTTTTTTCGCCATCTTGTGATTGAGTAATAATAGTAATATTTGGGGATGCACCACATTTTTGGCTGATTATGGCAAAGAGGAAAATGGCTGAAAATTTGGGCTGTAATAAAAGGCTATGCTGCAGCTCATTGGCCAGCAGTGTTCGGTGCTCTGGTTTCACTCTTCCTCCAGTGATAGTGGCAGAATTAAGCAGCTTACAAAGTGCTTGTTGTTGCATTGAACAAAGTGCTAGATCAGTAGAGTAGACTGTAAGCTAGTTTGCATACATGTCGCAGTCAAAGTTTAAAATAGTTCAGTATTCCGCTCTGTGGATATTCCCATATGTATCCGCATACTTATCTATGCTTGAACAACACATGTTCACTGGAAAGGTATGCTCAAATAATGCGCCTGCAGGACATTTCTATGTAGTATTCTTTTTCCTGCTGCTTGCAATAGTGCTACTGTCATGGCAACACTGGTAAAACGACACCTCTCGACAAATTTACTTACAATTTTTTTTTGTGCAGTCTACAAAAAATACCACAATAACAATAATTTACACATTTTTTAACAGGAATTAAGGGTAAACAAGAACATTCAAAAACCCTCAGTCCCCCATCCCACCCCCAAGGAGGAGAATAATAAAATAATAATAATAATAAAATTATAATAAAATTAATAATAATAAAAAAAATAAAACACAACAACATTAGCACCTACAAGAATTGTCAAAGCAACTGAATAAGTATACATAAAATATAAATAACACACGCACACATTAATAAGAAGAGCAGAGATCTTTCTTAAAAGACAAAACAAACTACTTATAGATCAGCGAAGAGGTGTGTGGTATTCCAAATTAATCAGAGGATCCCAGTTTTTATATGATTTTTCAGTGGAACCTCTTAATGTAAACGTAATTTTTTCAATATATAGAAAATACGTTAAATATTTTTACCATGAGACTGTGGGAAGAGGTTTAGAAGACTTCCAGTGTAATAAAATTCGTCTTCGGGCTATCAGTGACGCAAAGTCTAGAACATTAGCAATCTTATTTGAAGGTTGTCCAACAAAGCTGATTTTCCACCATTTCCCACCAATTCTGATCCAAACCAAGTCCAACTTCTTTCTGCATTGATGCTTAAACTGAGAAAGAGAGGGAAAGTATAGGAAAAAATACTTACAATATTTTTTGTTACTGTCAATAAAATGTGATTACATTATGAACATATACAGTCAGGTCTGAAATTATTCATACTGTACCCCTGACAAATTCTTACTATTAATTAACCAGCAAGTTTTTTTTAGACTAAAAATGACACAGGCTTCTCCCAAAAGATAATAAGTTTAACTTTATTTTGTCCCCGTAGGGAAATTTCATTTGTAGCATACACTCACAGAGACATCTGACATTTGGCATAAATCATTTAAATACATAGTACCCTTACCCTAAATAAATATACAGTCTACTGACCATCAACTGCTACTGAGGAAGGAGGAATTAGAAAAATGTAATTGCTTGAGGTATAAATTATAATTTTTTCCTATTCCTTACGCATCTGGGAACACAATATCGACGACCTGGTGGTAACATAGGTGTATGATAAAGGATGCCTCTCATCATTGACAGTCATAATAGCCCTATTTAGTACTCATTCTTTGTATATACTGTGAATGCTCTTTAATTTTATTCCCAACAACTTGTGACGTCCTTCTGGGCCTCAGAAGCATTTTAACACAAGCATATCACACAAAATGTTGCAATACGTTCAATAAAAGCACTATAAAACATGATCAACAATGTGCTGTCAACATTAAAAGACAATAGAAGTACATTCTCTGTTTAAGCTTTTTTTTCATGTTGTAATTGATGTACAGTTAAAGTCAGAATTATTAGCCCCCCTTTGATTTTTCTTTTTCTTTCAAAAATATTTTGCAAATGATGTTTAACGAAGCAAGGATATTTTCACAGTATGTCTGATAATATTTTTTCCTCTGGAGAAAGTCTTATTTGTTTTATTTCGGCTAGAATAAATTTTTTAAACACCATTTTAAGGTCAAAATTATTAGCCCCTTTAAGCAATTTTTTTCAGATAATCTACAGAACAAACCATTGTTACACAATAAATTGCCTAATTACCCTAACCTGCCTCGTTTACCTAATTAACCTAGTTAAACCTTTAAATGTCACTTTAAGCTGTATAGAAGTGTCTTGAAAAAATCTAGTAAGATATTATTTTCTGTCATCATGGCAAAGACAAAATAAATCAGTTATTAGAAATATTTTATTAAAGAGACTTTTAATAAAGTCGTAAGTTATTAAAACTATTATGTTTAGAAATGTGTTAAAAAAAATTTAACAGAAATTTGCTGGTCAGTTAAACAGAAATTGGGGGTGGGGGACAGGGGGGCTAATAATTCAAGGGGGCTAATAATTCTGACTTCAACTGTATGTACTATAAGATTCAAAGTAAGGACATGTAAAGGTTAATCTAAAAGCAACTCATGTTGACATCTCAATCATAGTAATGTCTTATTGAGAATAAGGTACATATAATTAGATTACTGATGACCATGTAAATGAATACCCCATTTTAAAGAGGTAGAGAGTTTATCCCAAAATGGATTAATCATTTACTCACCCTCATGTCATTACAAACCTGTATTCATTCATTTTATGCGGTGAAAGGAGATGTTGTGAGTATAATGGATGTGGATGGCGATTCATAATGCTTTGAAATGACAAAGAAATATATCATAAAGGCGTATTGTTATAATACTCTATATTCAGTGTGTTCAGTGGCTTTGTTGGAGGAACAGACCTAAATTGAAGCCATTAATCACAGAAGCTCCTAATGGTTCAATATGGAGTTTGCATCAAAATGAAAATTCATGGCAAAACCTACGTTTATGGACAAAAAATTTGACTTTGAAAAAAATGTATATTTATTTTATATATTTATTCAAAATGATAATACCAATAATACATTTATTGGTTAAGTTTAATTGTATAATACTGTTTTAGAGTGATAAAGAGCCCCAATTAAGCATTAAAAAAGGTCATATTTTGGTTGTGGGGTCTTCTACAACAGGCTGATATGCATGCAAGGTCAAAAAACACTTTAATTGTCTTATAATTTGCATTTAGTTTTACGTACTTATCCAAACGACTCCCAAATGATTAGTTCAGCGATTCATTTGTTCCCATCGCTTCTCCTTAGCGTGATGCTTATCTGTGCTGATTGGACCGATGACCCAGTCTGTTTTTATTGTAAAGCAATGCAGTTAAACATCAGCATATATTCTATTCTTAACCATAACTTCAAGTAATAACAACGACACACATTCAGTATTAATCCACACGTGGCAAAGACTGCGTAGGAACAGCTGATGTTGGCCATAGCAATGACAATCAGCAGGGCATCACGAGCTCAGAAACGCATTTAAATCAGTAAAGGAAGAAGCACACATTGCATTTTCAATGTAGTTTTGGACGCATCATGTGAATAGCCTCATAAAGATTTAACCTGAGAGACACATTACAAGCACTGATCTTATATAAGATGAGTGATTGCAAGCTGCGCGGAGTGATAACAAGTTACAGCACACAATTAAATAAATATTTTGCAAACTCCAGAAAACGAGGCAAACATTTTAATCACACTTACCGGTGTTACTGACAAAGTGCCATACATTAGTAGTCTTTGCTAATTCTTTAATAACAATGGCGAATTTCATGTGGCAGTGTAAGTTATTGCATCAATCAACAGAAAAATGCCACCATCGCATGTCTGGTCATCTGTAAGCGATAGTAATCTTTGCGTCATGATCAATCCCATGATCCCCTGCTCTCCGCTAATGTTTGAAGGCAAAGGTGTATTCATGTTTTACCAGGTTTGGCACTTCATATTTGGTAATGTCGTATCAATAGTAGTAGTCATTGTTGAAGTAGTATCAGTTGTAGTAGACGTTGTTGTAGTAGTAGTAATAGTAGTAGTAGACATTGTAGTAGTAGCAGTCATCATTGTGGCTGTAGTAGCAGCAGTAGTAGTTGTAACATTAGTAATTTTTTGTAGTAGTAGTAGTTGGTGTTGTACTTGTAATTATTATTGTTGTTCAGTTATGAATACTGTTGTCCTTTCTTTCTTTTTACTACAATCCTATCATTGTTGTCACTGCTTTCCACTGATTGATTTTTTTTCTATCGATTTAATTACAGTATATCCATGCTATTTGCTGACCATCCACCTAGTTACCTTTACACGCACACACACAGACACACACACACACACACACACACACACACACACACACACACACACACACACACACACACACACACACACACACACACACACACACACACACATACACACACACATTGTTTTTTCATGTTTTTGTTGTTGTTTTCTTTTCTTTGTATGTGATCCTATTTTGTGTACTACTCGCATATTCAAATAAAAACATAAAAATAAAATAAAAAACATTTGGTGATGTCTGATATCGATGTCAATACGAGCAGTCAAAATATCTAAACACAAAACATAATTTATTTGACTCTGTGTCGAGAATCAATAGTTTTAAACATGGTGCACTTTCAGATTTAACCCTCAGCTGGACGTTTTCCTTCACTTAGAGCTGTGTTCAACACTGCATGTCATTTTCAAAAACCCATAATAGGGGCTCTTTAAATTTGATTTATTAGATTTATCTTAAAAATAAACAACAGATTTTAAATAATGTAAGCAAATTTCACCATATTATTGTTAAATAAAGTGGCAAAATGTATGTTTTCTAGTTCTGCTATTTTATCTGATTATATTTCTTTTTACAGAACAGAAAACGATCCACTAAAATGCACTAAAACAGCAATATTGTGAAATTTGAATTCCCTTAATACAAAAACACAAAAGACATTGCATTTTATTTGATTATGTATTGATTCCAGATGGCAACGCTGACTGATTTTTCAGCATCTTATATGTTCTTATATGTTCGGTGTACCAAGATCTTCCTAACATGCTGATTTAGTACTCAAAAGCATTTATTGTTATTATTAATAATATTATCAATGTTAGGAATAGCTGTGCTGCTTCAAATTTTGATGAAACCCTTTTTAAAACCTATTTTTAGAATTGTTTAAATAATAATGTTCCACATACAAGTAAAGATTTTAAATATCTGTCCACATTCATTTTCTTTTCGGTTTAGTCCCTTTATTAATTTAGGGTCGCCACAGCGGAATGAACCGACAACTTATCCAGCATATGTTTTACACAGCGAATGCCCTTCAAGCTGCAACCCATCACTGGGAAACACCCATACACACTCATTCACACACACACACACACACACACACACACACACACACACACACTACGAACAATGTACCCAATTCACCTCTACCGCATGTATTTGGGCTATGGGGTAAACCGGAGCACCTGTAGGAAACCCACGCGAACATGGGGAGAACATGCAAAAACTAAACAGAAATGCCAACTGGCTCAGCTGAGGCTTAAACCAGCGACCTTCTAGCTGTGAGGCGATCGTGCTAACCACTGCGCCACCGTCCAGCCAATATCTGTCCTGTGTCTTCTTATTATGTCTTAAGTGCTGAGTTAACATGTTTTTTAAAGCCCCCCGTGATAGCTACTTTTGTAAGCTATTTGGACAGAACTGTGTGTATCTATAGTGTGTCCACAGTCATATTGGAGTGATATAAACCCAACAAGTCTCTTTTTTTTTACATTTCCTGAAGTTAAAATAGGACTCAAATCCCAGTGACTTTTCCACCGCAACGTGAAATAGGAGTGCAGCTTCCCTCACCCACCAAATTGATTAACAGGTGCCATGTCTCCATAATTGTATGTATACACATGTTTTGCAAAAAAAAAAAAATGGGTGTATAACATGTTAAAACTTTCTGTTATCAGCTGCACCTCAATAATTAATTTTCTAAGTTTAAAATGTTTTTAAAAAGAGCATGTTTGCAATAGAGTCAAATCTATATCTAATTCTTAACTGCTATAATCACCACTGCCATAATCACTGCTATAATCACCACAATGTATGTGTGTGTGTGTGTACTGCAAACTGCGTTTGTGTGTGACTCATCATTTCAGAAAGGCTTGAATAAACTCCACCACAAATACATCAAATAAACTTAACGTATTTTTGACTAGTAATCTTGTTTCAGCTTCAATCGTGTCTATCTCTGTCACTGACTGCTGTTTATCTGACATAACGCATGAGAAGCAGACAAGCATGGGGGAACGGTGGGCAGGGAGAAGCAGCTCATTATCATTTAAAGCCACAGGCTACAAATGCAGCTACATTGTCCTCAGACACTAAAATGGGCATATTCTACTTTATATAATAAATAATCTCATGGGTAGTTTGAGCTGAAACTTTACAGACATATTCTGGAGACACCAAAGTCTTATTATACATCTTGTAAAAAGGGTAAAACAGGTGCCCTTTAAAAAAACATAAACAGAAAACCTTACTGACTCCAACTTTTGAGAGGCGGTGTACGTGTTTAAAGCAAAATGACTTGTTTGGCCATGGGTGAAGGATGGATGAGCAGCTAATATTTTGTTTCCTGTTAAACGTCATTCTTTTCTAAGTCAGAGTTTCATGGGGTTTGTGTTTTTCAGCAAGTAAGTTATATTGATTACTTTTTTAATACTCAAGCGTTGTTCCAAAGCTCAGTCACACTGCTGGAAATTACAGCCTGGGAAACGATTCGCACTGCCTCCCAAATCCAATTACGCCATTTTCTCCCTCACTCATTCTTACCCCCTCGATAAAGATTTTTTTTAACCACAAAGCTAGGATTTTGCTGAATCAAAGAGATTTTTTCATTAACTTGAGATGAAACGTATAAAATGTATCTCTATATATTATTACGTAGTATAAAGTTTTTCTAGGGGAGTTTATGTATAGGTCAAATATGCATAAATTCCAGTTTTATGCCAATAACAGCATACAATTAAATTGCATTATTATTATTTTAAAGCTTGCAAGGTTTATAATCTCTTTTAGACATTCGGTGGCTATGTGTGTAAGTTATTCACAACTAGGGAAGAGCTTTTTAACATGTAACATGAGCATATGGCAGCTTAACACTTTATCTGTTCTAGTAAAAAATATAGAAGACAATCTAAGACTTCTAAGACAAAAATGTATTTTGTAAAAAATAAATCATACAATGCACACATTGCAACAATAACCTCATGCTTTCTATGACCCTGATCACAATGCACAACTATGCAGCAGAGCTTAAAACTATTTGAGCAAAAATATGAAAAACCTTCAGCCATTCAGAAAAAAAATTTACATTAAAGAAATGTCTAAACGGCTAAATAACAGACTGGAGATTAAAATCACCGCAGATTTGTCTCATAACACACACACATGCACACACTTTCATAGCTATCTTTATGGGGACTTCCCATAGATGTAATGATTCTTATACTGTACAAATTGTATATTCAATCACCCTATCCCAGCTTTTAGACAATTGCCTTCAGATGACCTCAAAGGTAAAAGTCTACGGGGGTTAGATTGGGATAGCTTGGGGGCCATTCAACTGGCCCACGATGACCAATCCACTTTTCAGGAAACTGTTCATCTAGGAATGCTTGGATTTGACACCGATATTGTGGTGGTGCATCATCTAGCTGGAAAAACTTAAGGAACATGCCAGCTTCAGTGCATAAAAAAGGGGAAACACATCATCATGTAGCAATTTCGAATATCCAGTGGCCTTGAGGATTCCATTGATGAAGAATGGCCCCACTACATTTGTTGTCTATGGTGTGAAGATACAAGATGTGCAGCACCTGAAACTACGGATACTGGAAGCCTGCGCTGGCATTTCTCCTGCGGTGTTGCTATCAGTGTGTGAAGAGTGGGAGAAGAGGGTTGCATTGACACTCCAACACAATGGTCAGCACATTGAACACATTTCATAAGTAGTCAGAAACTTGTAAATAACTCAGGGAAGAATAAAGTTATGTTAAAACCAAGCACACCATTGTTTTTCTTGTGAAATTCCCAATGAGTTTGATGTGTTAAATGACCCTCTTCCTATTGAAAAAAACTAAAGTTGGATCCAAGATGGCCGACATTAAAATAACCACCATGGTCACCACTCATCTTGAAAAGTTTGCCCCCACACATATACTAATGTGCCACAAACAGGAGGTTAAAATCACCAACCATTCCCATTTTATTAAGGTGTATCCATATAAATGGCCCCTCCTCTACATAAAAAGAGAATAAAGGTTTACATTAAAAGCATCTGTGCACCTAATATAAGCAGTCTTAAGCAAGACGCATATAGAAGCTTGATCATGTCTGCGTGTCCATTTCTGAGCATTCCTTTGTGTCGTAAATGCCTTGGAATCGAAATACATACTGACCATCCAGTCTCTTTCTGGGTAGAAAAAGTTGATGATGTATTTTTTGTTGAATAATGCAAAATATCTATGTGTCTGATCAGACACATTCGTTACAATACATTCATCTAAAAAATTATTTCAAATGTATCATAAAGAAAACACGTCTATTCAAAATACAGAACACATTGGGTGATTGAAAAACGATTGGACACAAGACTGAAAATAATAACTTACAAACCTGACGTATATATGACCAATTACATGCCCGCATTCCTCTTCTACAAGCAATGGAAGAGGCATCCTGTGGCCAGACCCAAAACGACAGTACGATCCGTAATCCCACTATGCACAATTTGCTTGGTTTTCTGTATTAACACTGGTGCAGTATCAATTAGACATCGATGTGAATGTTTTTCCCCAGTGTTCTGCCTTGTGTGTTTGTGTTTAATGTTGTGACACAATGAGCCAAAGTTTAGCAAAAATTATTCAGGCAATAGGCAAAAACTGTATTACCTGCTAACTGGTCCATCAACAGACGTGGTACTGACTGCATGTACAGTATCAACTTGCCGTGTTAACCCTAACAAAACAGTTTAGTTACATAGTCAACATAATATCTAAAGGGGACAGAATAAATTGTAACAGCTTTTTTAAACTTTTCAATCTTGTTTCTTTCTCGCTATACAGAAGTCTCCAGCAAAGAAGCTCAGCCACGCCATCAGTAAATCTCTGGGCTGCATGCCGATCGGAGAGCCTCCGCATCCTGTGTTTCCCGAGGCAGCAGAAAGACCTCAGGATCTCGCACACACTACGTAAGTCCTCTAAAGAGTTTATTCTTGCACCTCGGCTATGGACTACATGCACAAATCATTTATTCACTTCATTTATTGTAACTTTTTATTTTACTAGCAAATCACATTAGAAATATAAGAATGCTAGGTTAATGCTTTTTGCATGGAGTTATGGTCTCAGGCGTTCCCAGAATATGTCTGTGAAGTTCAGCTCAAGCTATTTCATGGATCATTCACTGTACCATGTTTTACTTGCATCTTTTTGGGTGGTAGCAAAAACTGGCTGATTTGATGTGTGTTTTTTTAAATGCAAATGAGCTGATCCTCCTTGCCTTTACAGCTCATGTCTCAGTTACTCCAGCATCAACAACAGCAAAACAAACATCTGTATGTGCTTTAAAATGTACAATAAACCAAACAATATACTCGGAATGATTCTGATTGGTCTGTCATGACATTCCAAGGTACGTTATTCTAAAATAACAACCATTGAATAACACAGGCTCATCTGTGAACTTCGAATCACCTTCTTCTCTGATTTTGTCAGTTTGACGGCTTGGGTAAAATATGCGTAGCCACGGCACTCTGACCATTACTTTGCTACAAGTGAAAAATGAAAGGAGGAGCCCAAAAATAAAACCACACCCCTACTTAATATTCCATTTCATTTGGAAATATTTCATCAAACTGAAATAAAAGTCTGCAGCAACCTCCAGTTCACACAGACTTTAAAACCTTGTCTGTCTAAACTCCTGGTTCATCTCAAACAGTCTCATGGACCATTACTGTACAATGATTTACTTTTTACTTTTTTACATGATCTTTTTGGGTGGTAGAAAAAACAGGTTTTAAATGCAAATGAGCTGATCCTTATTGCCTTTACAGCTCATGTTTTAGTTACACTAGCTGCAACAACGACAAACATTTGCTTTAAAATGTACAATAAATGAAATTATAATAGGGCCGCTTGGAATCCTCAATTCTGGTTGGTCAGTCGCAACATTCCAAGGTATGTTATTCCAAGACAACAACCAATAAATAACTCAGGCTTATCCGGTATCTTTAAAATTCCCTTGAGCATCTGTAAATATGTTCAAGTTGCAGTTTTTCTCTGATGATGTCTTGAGCGAAATATGCTTAGCCACGCCCCTTCTACCATTAGTTTGCGGTGATTGAAAAATGACAGGAGGAGCTCAAAAATAAAACCCAGCCCCTACTAAATATTCCATCTCAGTTGGACATATGTCATTAAACTGAAATAAAAGCTCCAGTTCACATAGTTTAAAGTCTTGTCAGTTTAAACTCCTGGTAAACACAAATTAAGTGAGTATTGAATTAAGTTCTCTTTTGCGTTAAACTGACACAGGTTTGTGTCAGAAGCACTCAAATACACAGAAGTATACTTAATGGTAATGTCTATGAATGTAAACAGTTGGTTAAATTGCATATGTATCAGTATATTAGATCCGTGAAACACAGTATTAAGTCAACCAGGCTGGTTTCCTCATTCAGAATTGCTAGCTGGCAGTAGGTGTTTATGTTTCTCTGTATCGAGTTTCTTTGCTGGTGTTTTGTTATTTCTGAACACTTTCTTAATGCTCAAGTGGCTCAAACTCGCTCATTTTGAGGCTGGAATTGGCATACGTGCAACAACTTTAATTATAAGGTAAACACAAAATATCAGTCTCCATCTGGGGCTCCTTCATGGGACTCCACACTTTTACACTCCACACGGTGAGGGCTATGCATCCATGCGTAGGCTGCGCCGTAGCATACGCGTGCACTTGACGCAGAAGTATAAACCAGCCTTTAAACTGTAAAAATGGACAGAAATACTGTAAAATTTACAAGTGCACTGTAAATTATTGCCGTAATGTGTACATACTGTAAATTTTATAGCAGTTTTAACAGTGTACGAATGAACAGTTCATGTATTCATAGTAGGCAGGTAATAAGCAGGGCTAGACGGAGTTTGCGGATGTTTTTTGATTTTTCTGTGGAGAATTTTGGTAAAAATCTGCGGATTTCTGCAGAATTATTTTGGGAGCATCCAGCGGAGTATCATAACTAATATTTAAATATAATAATACCTTAATATATGAAATAAATAATAAAACTTTTATTTAATGTTTAAAATGCAAATCCAATTAGATTCACTTTATTTGGTAAACAATATATTCTCTCATACAATATCTCTACTAAAAGACAGAACATATTACTTAAACTGTGTTGTACTTAAATCAGATGACCATTTTCATATTAGACCATAATATTGCTGTAATTAATTAAAAACTGAATAAATTTAGATTTTTACATTTACTTAAGTAAATAAACAGATTTAATAATGGGCAAAAAATCTGCGGAATTCTGCGGAAAATCTGCAGAATTCTGCACACGCAGATTCCATGTGGGCCTAGTAATAAACCTGTAGTTGTAACCTAAACATTACCAAATTGTTTAAAATCGTAATATTAATGCCAAAATCTCAGGGCTAAAATAGAGGTGTTGAAAAAATTCAGAAACAACGTTAACTGATATTTGATTTTGTAACTTTGCAGATTTTTTCCATGCCCAAACACCAACATTATGACAAAAGTTGAAAGTGTAAATAATAATAATATTAATAATAATAATATGAACTCTGTAACATTTTTAGATTTATTTCTTGCAGTCAGGTGAATTGTAATCACGTCCTCTTGCTAGAAATTTCCCAGTATTTGTTTCTTATTTCTATAGCAAGAGCGAATATTGATCTTCAGATCTGTCACAGGAAAGAAATGTAATTAGGAAATGCCAAGAAGAAAGATATCGTGTGTAAAAAATATATGGGTACAGTTTTCTCGTTGGCTGAATTATAAATATCTGAGAGCTGAATCAATCTTTCGCCAGACCTTCGCTCTCTCAGGAACAGGCCCTGGTTTATAAGTACTTTCATTAACTGACACATGAACCCGGGGATTGATGAAGACCATAAAACAGCAGAACACATGTGCCCTCCGCTGGAGGAAAAGTGTAGCAGATTTACTGTCTTCATTTATTTTGCTGATAAAGTACCAGAGTTATTTGATTATGAATTACATCAAGTATTTTCAGCTTGGATAAGAGTTGTGTAATTTTTGCATCATAATGCTTGTAGTGTTCAAACTGCTGGAGAGGAAAATGAACAGCAGTAAAGCATGTTTTAAAGAGCCCATATTATACATGAAATAGGGTCATATCTAGGTTGTAAGGGTCTCCAACAACAGTTTAATATGCATGCAAGGTCAAAAAACACTTTCATGGTCTTATAATCTGCATTTATTTTTACCTAATTATCCCAGCGACTCCTGTATGAATCGTTCAGGGATTCATTTGTTCCCAAACCCCTCCTTAGCGCGAAGCTAATCTGCGCTGATTGGACCGATGACAGTCTGTTGCGATTGGTCGACTGCCTTCAGTGAGAGAGTGAAATGCCAAACAGCTAATCAGCAATATAAAAGTAATCACAGTTCATACACGCTTGATAGTGTAGGCGTGGATTTTAGCTGCCAGTGGGTCAATGTAAATACAGACTATGGACTTGAAAATACAGACGACTGACTATTTTATTGAACAAAAACTCCAAAAACAGTTGAGGAGATCTCCTTCTCACTCTGCTCTTTTCACAGACACACACACACACACACACACACATACGCACTTAACCCTGCTCCGGACGACAACGCGCGCGCGCACACACACACACACACACACACACACAAACACACACACCTCCGGACGACAGCGCGCGCACGCACACACAGACACACACACTAACGTTACTCCCCGTCCACGGAGCTCCGTTAACGCAGCACGCGTCGCGTTTTTAACGTGACTTTGCACACGATAAGAGAATATAGCCAGTTAACCTGATACAGTACATGCGGTTACAAGTAACAAATCACAACTAAATACATTTGCAAGCTAGAGTCAACGAGGCAACTTTAATCGCACGTACTTACACTTGAGAAATGGAGGAAGAAACCCATCCTGACGTCTATCAGTAAGTTACTCTTTACTGATCCTTCCTTTAACAAACGCTGATGAAGTATTCTTTGTAGCATGTAGCTTCCAGAAGTTTCCAGTAGTTTCCAACTGCTTGGCTATAATGCTGAGGTTTCATCTTTGGGTAGAGACTCAATATATCCATCTGCAGTGTGACTTCAATCGACCGGCATGTTTGTGTGTGTGTGTTTGTGGGTGTGTGTGTGTGTGTGTGTGTGTGTGTCTCGGTTTCTGCGTCAGAGGGCGGGGCCTCAGGTTTGAAATCTCCCGGGTTTGCGCGTGCACGTGAATAACTTGGTTTCGTTCGTACGTCATGGCGAAACACCTAATGAATCCGTATCAAGGCGACTCGTTTGAAGCATTATGAGTCGACTCTTTTTTAGATGAATCAACCGTTTTTAACACTGTACACTAACAGATTTAAGCCTTAGCTGGATACTCCACTACACTTAGAGCTGTGTTACACACTACATGGAGGGGAATTTTCAAAAACCCATAATATGGGCTCTTTAATATAAATGGTCATTTATTTATTCAAAGTCAGGTTTTTTCAATGCATGAAGATATCTATATTTGTAATGGCTAACAACAAACATACATGACAGACAAACTGTAATCAAATATAAGTATTATTAAAAATGAAATTATGTTTTGTTTGTCGCATACAGTTAACTGTTTATGGGATGTGGGGTGGGTAAATGGTGTGTTTCAGTCCGGCTGTCACCGCAAGTATATTTTAAACCTGCGGGAAGCACTGTAATTGGTTCAGTTTTTTTTCCAATAAGGGTGTGTAATAAATACATTTAAATTTGTATCAAGTTTTGTTCACATTAAATAATAATAATAAAAAAAAACATTGGTTTAAAAAGTATTTTGTGACACCCACATTCGTCATTAAAAACACAGGTTTATGTTTTAAATAATAACTATGAATCAAACTGAGGCGTTCATTTTAGGCCTATATAAACTATAAAACATCTATGTAAATTAATGCAATA